TCCTTCCGTTTTTTTTTTTCTAGAGAAAAAAATTTACCAGAAGTCCTGCCGATTTTTTTGTCTAGAGAAAAAAAGGACCTGATGTCCTGCCGATTTTTTTTAGAGAAAAATGGACCTTAGGTCCTGCCGATTTTTTTCTAGAGAAAAAAGTGGACCTGAAGTCAAGCCGAATTTTATTTTTCTAGAGAAAAAAATGGACCTGAGGTCCTTCCGATTTTTTTCTAGAGAAAAAAATGGACCTGAGGTCCTTCCGATTTTTTTTCTAGAGAAAAAAATGGACCTGGGGTCCTTCCGATTTTTTTTTTCTAGAGAAAAAAATGGACCTGAGGTCCTTCCGATTTTTTTTCTAGAGAAAAAAAAATGGACCTGAGGTCCTTCCGATTTTTTTTCTAGAGAAAAAAATGGACCTGAGGTCCTTCCGATTTTTTTTCTAGAGAAAAAAATGGACCTGACGTCCTTCTGATTTTTTTTCTAGAGAAAAAAATGACCTGAGGTTCTTCCGATTTTTTTTCTAGAGGAAAAAAATTGACCAGAGGTCCTGGTTCTAGAGAAAAAAATGGACCTGAGGTCCTGCCGATTTTTTAGAGAAAAAATGGACCTTAGGTCCTGCCGATTTTTTTTTGTAGATAAAAAAATGGACCTGACGTCAAGCCGAATTTTTTTCTAGAGAAAAAAATGGACCTGAGGTCCTGCAGATTTTTTTTTTAAGCAAACAAAAAAGGGACCTGAGGTCCCTCCGAATTATTTTCTATAGAAGAAATGAACTTGAGGTCCTGCCGACTGTTTATTCTACAAAACGAAATGGATCTGAGGTCCAGCCGATTTTTTTCTACAGAAAAAAATGGGTCTGAGGTCTTGTCGATTTTTTTTTCTATAGAAAAAACTTGGACCAGAGGTTCGAACTAATTATAGAAAAAATGGAACAAAGGTCCTGGCGATTTTTTTGACTATAGAAGAAAACATGGAGCAGATGTCCTGTTTAACTTTTTTCTATAGAAAAACTTGGACTAGAGGTCGTAACGATTTTTTACTATAGGAACAATTCTCAATATTAAAGATATATGTCCATCAAATTTCAATTTTGTATCGTAATTTTCATTAGTTTTTTTCCCGCGCAGTACTTTTGAACCGGCAACAATACCCAAGCGTTTAGTTCAATAACAATGCCGTTCTTTCTGGTTCCTCTTTTATCCGTCATTACACGAAGTACTTGACTCCTTTGGGGTTCTTTTTATGTTTCTTTTGTTGCCATTTCATGTGGTTTTTGTTCTTGTTACTTCTCCCACCTTCTCCTCATCCCCCTGCTGGTGGATGGTTGATGCGCCTAACTGGCTGGATGACTTTGTCTGGTGGCATTCGTTCGTTCTGTCTTTCTTTTTCGTTAACTTCTCTGCGGTTTGTTGCGCCAGCCAGTCAGTCAGCTTAAATTCCTTACGCTCACTTTACAATCTCCTTCAAGCACTTTTGTTCGGATGCACATCAGTATGGGTCTGTGTGTGTGTGCCCGCTTGCCTGTTAGCGGCAGATAATTGTTTATTATTATAAAGGCTTCTTATAAACTTCTTGTGTATGACGATTTTTCGCTCTGTTATGCCTTTGCACCTTTTTTTGTTTTGTAGCCTCAAACCAGGTTCGTAGTTGTCTCGTGGATAAATGGAGGATATATTAAGTTTATCGAACCGGTTGTGATATATTAAAAACTTCTTTAGAAAAAAACTTTGACCCGAGGTCATCACGAATTTTTTTCTATAGAAAAAACTTGGACCTGAGGTCCTGACGAATTTTTTTCTATAGAAAAAACTTGGACCTGAGGTCCTGACGAATTTTTTTCTATAGAAAAAACTTGGACCTGAGGTCCTGACGAATTTTTTTCTATAGAAAAAACTTGGACCTGAGGTCCTGACGAAAAAACTTTTTTCCTACGAATTTTTTTCTAGAAAAAACTTGGACCTGAGGTCCTGACGAATTTTTTTCTATAGAAAAAACTTGGACCTGAGGTCCTGACGAATTTTTTTCTATAGAAAAAACTTGGACCTGAGGTCCTGACGAATTTTTTTCTATACAAAAAACTTGGACCTGAGGTCCTGACGAATTTTTTTCTATAGAAAAAACTTGGACCTGAGGTCCTGACGAATTTTTTTCTATAGAAAAAACTTGGACCTGAGGTCCTGACGAATTTTTTTCTATAGAAAAAACTTGGACCTGAGGTCCTGACGAATTTTTTTCTATAGAAAAAACTTGGACCTGAGGTCCTGACGAATTTTTTTCTATAGAAAAAACTTGGACCTGAGGTCCTGACGAATTTTTTTCTATAGAAAAAACTTGGACCTGAGGTCCTGACGAATTTTTTTCTATAGAAAAAACTTGGACCTGAGGTCCTGACGAATTTTTTTCTATAGAAAAAACTTGGACCTGAGGTCCTGACGAATTTTTTTCTATAGAAAAAACTTGGACCTGAGGTCCTGACGAATTTTTTTCTATAGAAAAAACTTGGACCTGAGGTCCTGACGAATTTTTTTCTATAGAAAAAACTTGGACCTGAGGTCCTGACGAATTTTTTTCTATAGAAAAAACTTGGACCTGAGGTCCTGACGAATTTTTTTCTATAGAAAAATCTTGGACCTGAGGTCCTGACGAATTGGACCTTTTTTTTTTCTATTTGGACCTGAGGTCCTCCGAATTTTTTTCTATAGAAAAAACTTGGACCTGAGGTCCTGACGAATTTTTTTCTATAGAAAAAACTTGGACCTGAGGACCTGACGATTTTTTTTCTATAGAAAAAACTTGGACCCGAGGTCCTGACGAATTTTTTTCTATAGAAAAAAAATATTAGTCTAATACAATTCTGCTCCACAAACCACCTCTTTCGTATCATTTAATGTATTTTCCGATTCGTTATGACCCAAACCACACAATTTCTGCTACATACCTTGTTTTGATGGTTGTTTATCCGATGACGACCATATCTCCGCCGTCCGTCCATCCGTCGTAAGCTTAACCAGTCAGCCTCGGCTTGTCAGTTTGGAAATTGTGTGCATGTTGTTAAGTCTGTCGCTTGGCAGGCCGGCAGGCTGTTTGGCAGCAGGAATGACGTGTTTTTTGGGGGCCAGAGAAAGAGAGCGACAAACAAGGTTTTCAGTTCGGCTGTGGGGACATCATCGAATGGGATAGTCAGTCAGCCAGTCCGTTGTTTATTCTTTCCTTTTGTTGCCAACCTCCAACTCAACGGCTAGGTTGCCAGACCTCATGACTTCCCGCCTTAACTGCCAGCAATTTTTGTTGGTGTTCTTCTGGAGGCAAAGTAATAACGAACAACAACAACCACAACAATGGATGGGCATTTTGCTGTGTTGTGACTGTATTTTTGCATTTCTCCCTTTTCCATGGTGATTGTTGCTGTTGTTTTTGCTGTTGCATTTTTTGTGGCCTAGGAAAACTCTGGACGTTTTTCTTTCTTCGAGAATTTTGAATGGCGAGATGAAGGGAGAGACTTTCTTGTTAGCCACTTTATGTTGCTTTCTTGGTTACATTTTTCGATGATAGTTGCTTGTTGTGCTAAGTTTGAGTTTGATGTTTGGTCTCAATGGGACAATGCGATGCCGCTCTTTTTTCCTACATTTCTTCTTCTTCTTCTTTGGTTGTTCATTGATTGGCATGGATTTTTTTTGGTTTTATAAGTTTTTCTCCCTATGGAGAAATATTTGCAGGACAAAAAAAATGGTTGGTAGCTTGAATGTTGTGATGGATTTTTTTTTTTTTTGTAGAAAAACGGGACCGCAGGTCCTCAGGATTTTTTCTATAGAAAAAAATAGGAGCACAACTCCTGACGAAGTTTTTTCAAAATAAAAAAAATTGGAACAAGAGGTCCTGACGAATTTTTTTCTATATAAAAAAATGGAGCAGAGGTCCTGACGAATTTTTTTCTATATAAAAAAATTGAACCAGAGGTCCTGACGAATTTTTTCTATATAAAAAAATTGTACCAGAGGTCCTGACGAATTTTTTTCTATATAAAAAAATTGGACCAGAGGTCCTGACGAATTTTTTTCTATATAAAAAAATTGGACCAGAGGTCCTGACGAATTTTTTTCTATATAAAAAAATTGGACCAGAGGTCCTGACGAATTTTTTTCTATATAAAAAAATTGGACCAGAGGTCCTGACGAATTTTTTTCTATATAAAAAAATTGGACCAGAGGTCCTGAGGAATTTTTTTCTATATAAAAAAATGTGGGACCAGAGGTCCTGAGGAATTTTTTTCTATATAAAAAAATGTGGGACCAGAGGTCTTGAGGAATTTTTTTCTATATAAAAAAATGTGGGACCAGAGGTCCTGAGGAATTTTTTTCTATATAAAAAAATGTGGGACCAGAGGTCCTGACGAATTTTTTTCTACATATAAAAATTGGACCTGAAGTCCTGGCGAATTTTTTTCCATAGAAAAAAATCAGTCCTGAGGTCCTGACGAATTTTTTTATAGAATAAAAATGTGGGACCAGAGGTCCTGATGAATTTTTTTATAGAAAAAATGTAGGACCAGAGGTTCTGACGATTTTTTTTCTATATTTAAAAATTGAATCAGAGGTCCTGACGATTGTTTTTTCTATATAAAAATGGGACCAGAAGTCCTGACTATTTTTTTCCATTGAAAAAATGGGACCAGAAGTCCCGACGATTTTTTTCTATAGGAAAAATGTGTAACCCGAAGCACATAAATCCTGACGATTTTTTCCAATAGAACAAAATATGGGACCAGGAGTCCTGATGATTTTTGTTCGATAGCATTGCAATCAGACCTCAGTTCACTTGTTTCACAAAATAACTTTCCAATCCATCACTATATCATTGAAAATTGTCAAGTTTTTTTTTTGTTAGTTTGAAAATTATTTTCACATTCAATTTCGAAAATCGAGACATTCAATACCTAATTGAAAAAATTCGTTGTGATATAGAAAATTATATTTCTTTTATAAATTAAAAATCCCCAATTGTTCCTGAAGATATGGCTCCACCGCCCCTTGTTAAAGGTCAAGAAATTTTAACTGTTCTCGAAGATATTCGTCAGCCTGCCGACTTAATAGAAGTTGTCGAAGAATTGGTCAATAAATTCGATATTCCAGTAAATAATGGCATCATACAGAAAGCAAAATCCGCATTAGAGGCCGGTGTCCGCTATGGATATATTGCGAAAAGTGACGATGAACTTTATTATGTACCCGAAGATGCAGATGCTGTGGAGAATAATGCCGAACAGTTGGAAACGACGAAAAGTGTCAAAACGGAAACGAGGCAAACGGAAGATACTTCCGATTGTTATGGCAATTCTCGTGGTATGCGAAGACGGGAAATGCAGGAAAAAAGAAGACGTCGAAGTCGTAGTCGTTCGGGTGCAAGACGAAGCTCCAGAAGACGTCGTCGTTGAAAAATTTTTTTTCATTGTTGTCATTTGAAATTATTGTTAATTCTTTTTTTTGCATTAATAAAATTTATGTTTAGAAGAGGATTTTTAACGTTTTAGAGGGAATTGGTTCCAATTTTATTTTGTATACAGAAAAACCTCTCTGGGGCCTCGGGTCCCTCAGGATTGCTTTTTCTATAGAAAAAAATTCTTCAGATCCCCTGAGGATGGCTTTTTCTATAGAAAAATCAGGTCCACTGAAGATGGCTTCCTTTCCTTAGGTCCCCTGAGGATTGTTTTTTTCTATAGAAAAAAATTTCCTCATGTCCCCTTGACGATTGTTTTTTTTTCTATAGAAAAAAATTTCCTCAGGTCCCCTGAGGTTAGTTTTTTTCTATAGAAAAAAATTTCCTCAGGTCCCCTGAGGTTAGCTTTTTTCTATAGAAAAAAATTCCTCCGGTCCCCTGAGGTTAGCTTATTTCTATAGAAAAAAAAAATTCCACAGGTCCCCTGAGGTTAGCTTTTTTCTATATAAAAAAATTCCTCAGGTCCCCTGAGGTTAGCTTTTTTCTATAGTAAAAAATTCCTCAGGTCCCCTGAGGTTAGCTTTTTTCTATAGAAAAAAATTCTTCAGGTCTCCTGAGGTTAGCTTTTTTCTATAGAAAAAAATTCCTCAGTTCCCCTGAGGTTAGCTTTTTTCTATAGAAAAAAATTCCTCAGGTCCCCTGAGGTTAGCTTTTTTCTATAGAAAAAAATTCCTCAGGTCTCCTGCGGTTAGCTTATTTCTATAGAAAAAAATTCCTCCACATTTTTTCTATAGAAAAAATTCGTCAGGACCTCTGGTGCAATATTTTTCTACAGAACAAATTCGTCACGACCTCTGGTCCAATATTTTTCTATAAAAAAAATTCGTCAGGACCTCTGGTCCAATATTTTTCTATAGAAAAAATTCGTCAGGACCTCTGGTCCAATATTTTTCTATAGAAAAAATTCGTCAGGACCTCTGGTCCAATATTTTTCTATAGAAAAAATTCGTCAGGACCTCTGGTCCAATATTTTTCTATAGAAAAAATTCGTCAGGACCTCTGGTCCAATATTTTTCTATAGAAAAAATTCGTCAGGACCTCTGGTCCAATATTTTTCTATAGAAAAAATTCGTCAGGACCTCTGGTGCAATATTTTTCTACAGAACAAATTCGTCACGACCTCTGGTCCAATATTTTTCTATAAAAAAAATTCGTCAGGACCTCTGGTGCAATATTTTTCTACAGAACAAATTCGTCACGACCTCTGGTCCAATATTTTTCTATAAAAAAAATTCGTCAGGACCTCTGGTCCAATATTTTTCTATAGAAAAAATTCGTCAGGACCTCTGGTCCAATATTTTTCTATAGAAAAAATTCGTCAGGACCTCTGGTCCAATATTTTTCTATAGAAAAAATTCGTCAGGACCTCTGGTTCAATATTTTTCTATAGAAAAAATTCGTCAGGACCTCTGGTTCAAGTTTTTTCCATAGAAACAAATCGTCAGGACCTCTGGTGCAGTATTTTTCTACAGAAAAAAATCTTCACGACCTCTGGTCCAATATTTTTCTATAAAAAAATTCGTCAGGACCTCTGGTCCAATATTTTTCTATAGAAAAAAATTCGTCTAGACCTCCGGTTCAATATGTATAGAAAAAAAAAAAAAATCCCAGTTCCCCTGAGGCCTGTTTTTTTCCTATAGAAAAAAATTCCTCAGGTCCCCTGAGGATTACTTTTTTTTCTATAGAAAAAATTTCCCCAGGTCTCCAGAGGAAGAATTTCCTCAGATTCCCTGAGAACTTCGATTTCCATGGAACCCACTGTGTTTGTCTGACTTTCATTAAATTGCCTCCTGACTTCCCGAACCAAGCCATATGTTCTGCTGTTAGGAGTTAATGTATCTTTGTCTGCTTTTTCTCTTTCTCTCCCTCTAACATTGATCTGCAATCATTGATTTGAGGCTAATTCTGCCCTGAGGAAAACAAAATGCCAGCGAGACATTTCAAAAGAAAGCCAGCCAGATGATAGCTACTAACCAGGTGTTGCGAATTCCAATTAGATTTATTGGCTACATTCAAAATAGGATGGATAGTAGGGGGAAGCGTTAGGGAGTATTTGTATGACCATAAATATTTTTCTTCTTCTTGGTTCCCAGTTTGGCTGAACATATCGTTCATGGTCTATTGGAATTTTTGGGTTTCCTGGAATAATTTAAATTTGCAACAAAAATTATGCCTACCAAGGCTATCATGTTCGTGTTTTTCTTTTTAGGAAGAGTCACATCATTGTTTTTCCCATTTTCAAAACCCCCACACCTCTCTGCCTCCTCATATACATATCATGGTCTTTATGTTAAAATCTTCTGGCTTATTACGACGACTTGTTAAAAAGATTATTTTGTTGCAAGGGGAGTACTCTTGAAGTTCATGTTTCTTGTTTTCGGTTGATTTGTTTTAATTGTTTTCACAAAATGAGGAATTCCCCCTTCTCCTAACCTCCCCCTCATTTAATTTGGAAATTATAAGAGGCTTAATAAGTTCGGCTGACTGGCTGGCTGTTTGTTTAAAGTTTTCATTTCATCTTCGTGTTCTTCAATTCTTGTTCACTTTTTTTTGTATTTTCGGTTTGGCAGCAGTCTGTCAGGTTATTGTCCCCTCCTCCATTGTTTGCCAGTCATTTGTGCTTCTTCTTCGTCTTCATGTTCTGCCTGCCGCTTCTCATGGCTGTTTGAAATTCATGAATTAATTGAAAATATTTATAACTTCAAACAGAAAAAAAGAGCCTCACCACGAACACAAAGTCTTCGAAGTCTTTGTTCCGGCATAATTATTGTAAACACATCGCCCTCCTACCCTACCTACCTGTCCCGCCAATTTTTATGAATAGAATTTTATTTATAAAACAAAAGTGTTTAATATCTGCTCCTTGGCCATCCTCTACTACTGCCGCCGCTTTTTATTGTTCATGATCAAGGTCAGTTTGTAATTAAATTTACACCATTTGTCTGTCTGGCCTGCCTGTCTTCCTATCGGAAGGGAACCTCAGCATAATTTTAAACAAGAATTATGACTCTGATAAGCATCTTCATAAATATGTAATTGGCTTTAAGAAATTGCATAAAAATAGAAAAAATTGAATTAATTTCCAGGGAGAAGAGGATATGCATGGATGGGAACGAAGAAAAAATGGGAAAGGAAAAACAAAAAAACAAGTGCAGCGAATTGCACAGAAATATGATTTTAGTATTTTATTCTGATAAAAATAGAAGTCCTCAGGCACCTGAGGGATATTTTCCGATAAAAATAGAAGTCCTCAGGGACCTAAGGAATTGTCTTCTATAGAAAATGAAGTCCCCAGGGACCTGAGGAATTATTTTCTATATAAATCGAAGTCCTCAGAGACCTGAGGAATTATTTTCTATAGAAAACAAAGTCCTCAGGGACCTTGAGGAATTATTTTCTATAGAAAACGAAGTCCTCAGGGGACCTGAGGAATTATTTTCTATAGAAAACGAAGTCCTCAGGGGACCTGAGGAATTATTTTCTATAGAAAACGAAGTCCTCAGGGGACCTGAGGAATTATTTTCTATAGAAAACGAAGTCCTCAGGGGACCTGAGGAATTATTTTCTATAGAAAACGAAGTCCTCAGGGGACCTGAGGAATTATTTTCTATAGAAAACGAAGTCCTCAGGGGACCTGAGGAATTATTTTCTATAGAAAACGAAGTCCTCAGGGGACCTGAAGATCTTTTTTGTACATAAAAAGTGTCCCGATTTTTTTAAATGAGTTATTCGAACCTAAGAATTTTTAGGGACCTGAAGCAGAATATTCTGGCATCTCAGAAAAAAATTCGTCAGGACTTCTGGTCCAAGTTTTTTCTATAGAAAAAAATTCGTCAGGACCTCGATTTAAGTTTGTTTTTCCATAGATAGAAATCGTTAGGACATAGGGTCTCATAATTTTTTCTATAAATTTTTTTTGTCGGAAAAATCTATTAGGATCTCGGTTCCAATTTTTTTCTATAGAAAAAAAACGACAGAATCTTGGATCCCATTTTTTCTATAGAAAAAAATCGATAGGATCATAGGTCCCATTTTTTTGTCAGGACCTAGAGTCCAAGTTTTTTCTACAGAAAAAAATTGTCAGGACCTGCAGAAAAAATCCGTCAGAACCTATGTTCCATTTTTCTATGGAAGAAGGTTCTCAGCCGCTGAGGCTTCCTTTTCTATAAAAACAATTTCTCAGGGTCAATGAGGAGGTCTATTTTTATAAGAAAAATACACTTAGGACCCCTGACTTACTTGCTTACTTTAGGTATCAACGATAGATCTTCTGTTTAAAAGATTTCCTTGATATTCTTTTACTAAATATTTTGTTCTTCTTTTTCAGAAACCTGCAATAAAATCCTCCACCCAGGAGCAGCCAGAACTTGCCAGCAAAACTCCCAGCAGTAGTGTTACCAGTGAACCAGGCGACAATGAACCAAGTGAAGAGAACAGCCTAAAATCAAAATCCAATTCCACAACAACATCCTCGTCAACGTCTGCGGCTCAAGAAATGGCTGGTGGTGGTAACTCGTCCTCCTCCTCGTCGACGAATGCAACAAATGGCTCATCCTCAACCACCTCCAGTAGCAGTAGTGCGGCTAACACCTCGGATAAAAAGCAAAAGAAAACGGTCACATTTAAAAATGTTCTCGAAACCAGTGATGATAAGAGTGCCGTTAAGAAATTCTATAATCCGGATAATCGTAAACCCCTTATCTCGATTATCAAGAAGGAATGTCTCAATCGGCCGCTTATGTATACCCGCAGCAGTGAATGCATTGTGCGACCCTCGAGGCTAACGGAGATTTTGAAAAATAATTCAAATATTGATAAATTGAATTCATTGAAATTCCGTTCGAATGCCGTATCATCGACATCGTCGTCCTCATCGGTTTTATCGGGTCCCTTGTCAAGGGTTTTTGGCGCACCATTGCCACCCGATGATGAAGAAGAGCAACAAAATCAAAATGTTATTAATTTTCGTGTCAGCCAACAGCGGGATAGTGCGGAGGCAAATCAGGATGGCGACGATGACGAAGATGAGGAGGACGAGGACGACGAAGAGGAGGAAGAAGATGAAATGGAGGATGATGGAGAAGATGATGATAGAGAGGACAATGCTGCTATGGATCAACGCGTAGAGGCCGATCATCAGCAATTGTCCAAGGAAAAAGAAGAGGCTAAACTCTCGGAAACCGCTAATGTTGTGATAAAGGCCAACGAGGAGGAGCAACAAATTGTTTTAGATAAACATTTTGTCCTGCCCAAACGTAGCTCGCGTTCATCGCGTTTAATAAAACCCAATAAACGTTTGGTTGAGGATTCGATACTGGGCAAGAAATCCACTCTAAAACCGAGTTCCTCAGCAGCGACACCCGCAGCAACCCAAATCAAAGAGGAAAAGTCGCCGGGGATTACCCTGCAAACAAACTACTTTGGTTTGGGTGGCGATTACAAAAGCAACAAGGAGTCTAATGGCTTGATGGGTAAGTACACAAACGTTATACGTATCCGACTCTAACTAATGATTTCTATTTTTCTTAGGTTCCAAAATCTCCAAAGAGGCAGATGCTTTGAAACCTTCCGCCTTTGCGGCAGCCACATCAAATGTTTTCCCAACCTTTGGTGGCTCGAATAGTTTGCTCAGCTCATCCGCCTCCTCCACCACTTCAACAACAAAACCCAGTAGTTTTATTCTAAGACAACCCCGCCTTCAATTTGAATCCTTATCGGCAAGCCAAAATACTGGCAGTTCCTCCACCACAACAACAACCAGTACCACCAGTACAACAGCGACCAGTGATCGAAGTAATATCAATGTGACAGCAGCAGCAGCTTTAGCCTTATCTGCCTCCCTACCAAAATCTCTACTGCAGGCAATATCCTCCGCATCATCGCCGAATGGCAGCAGTGCATCGTCGGCGTCTACATCGTCATCATCACCTGCGGCCTCTGCCACCGGATCATTACTTTCACCCACATTTTCCTTAAACAATAGTTCCAGTTCTGTGAAAAATAATGCAGGTGAGAGTTTGATTCGGATTATTCATAGAAAAGTTTCCCTCAGGGTTTTGAGGAACCTACAAGAGGATTTCGTTTCCTATAGAAAGTAATTCCTCAGGCCCCTGAGGACTTCGTTTTCTATAGAAAATAATCCTCAGGTCCCTGAGGACTTCATTTTGCTATAGAAAATAATTCCTCAGGTCACTGAGGACTTCATTTTGCTATAGAAAATAATTCCTCAGGTCACTGAAGACTTCGTTTTCAATTGAAAATAATTCCCCGGGTCCCTGAGGACTTCGTTTTGCTATAGAAAATAATTCTTCAGGTCTCTGAGGACTTCGTTTTCTATAGAAAATTATTCTCCAGGCCCCTGAGGACTTCGTTTTCCATAAGAAAATAATTTCTCAGGTCCCTGAGGACTTCGTTTTCTATACAAAATAATTTCGCAGGTCCCTGAGGACTTCGTTTTCTATAGAAAATAATTCCGAAGGTGCCTGAGGGCTTCGCTTTCCATAGAAAATAATTCCTTCAGATCTCTCAGGACTTAGTTTCCTATAAATCTGTAAATTTGAAATAATTTCTATCCTATTTTTTGTTTCCAGCTTCCTTAGCTCCGCTTTCTACTGCAACTTCGTCTGCGACAGCCCCCTCAAGTATACTATGTGTGGTGTGTTCCTCACCCATACACACAAAAAATCTACCACAAGCATCAAAATATGGTCAGCTAAGCTGTGAATATTGCCGTAAATTTATATCGAAAATTGCCAAGAAATCTCTTGCCATAAAAAATTCCGCAATTAATAAACCCATTATACCGCAGTGTAAAGCGGATGGTATGTTCGAATATATTTTCAAAATCTGTACATTTTCTAATATGCGATCTCTCACTCTCTTTCAGGAAATTGTCCCATAACGCCTTTAAACAAAGGCATTCACATTAAAAACTTTAAGAAACTCTACAAGGAGCGCTGTGGCCTCTGTTGGCTAAAGAAATGCCTGCAGACCCTACAATTGCCCAAAGTGAGGCTAAATGCATTGTTACCTGTCTTAAATAATTGTACTACTGGTGTCACTACGGCGACCGCCACCACCATTATCAACAACAACAATAGCAAAAACAATAATCTCATGGAAATGAAAATCCGCAAAGATATGGACCTATTGGAGGCAGCAAAATTATCGATAAAATGGAAAATGTCTGGGGTGGCAGGAACAACGACCTCAGCAGCAACGGTTGCTTTGGTAAATTTAAAAGAAGCTACCACAGCATCAAGTGTGGCTGGAGCTGTCTCATCCGCATCACTGGAGGGTATCAAATCTAATTTGAAATCTAACTCCTTGCTTGCGGAAAATAGTGGCCCTGTAACATTTGGTAGCTTACCTCTGCTCAGACCGGCCATTTTGGAAAAATCCTCCTCGTTAATTAAACCCTCTTCTTTAATCGATACAAAATCGGAAGTGATGGATAAGAAGCCATTGGAAATCCTTAAAGATGTTAAGGTGGAAGCGGGTCTATTGGAAATTAATACCAACGCCGCGATCTCCCCCTCGACATCATTAACGGTGAGTGGTGTGGGAAGTACAAATAAATTAAAGCTAAAGGAGAAAAAGGAACGTAAGGATGTAAAACTCAAGGACTTACCCTCACCCAAATGTGAAGAGAAGCCCTCCAGAGCGGATTCCAAGGATGGCATGGAAAAATTGGAAATTTCGGAAGGTACAACTCCAACAGCACCTGCAGTGGCGACCAGTGAAAATAGTTCCTTAACGACGGCTGTAGTAAATGGTGGAACCACCCCTTCTGGTGCTTCCAATGCTGCTGCGCCGGCTGGAGTCACCGCAGATAAACGCCAACGTATTGATCTAAAGGGGCCTCGAGTAAAACATGTCTGTCGCAGTGCCTCCATTGTTTTGGGCCAACCCCTGGCCATGTTTGGTGAGGATGAAGAGGAACAGCAACTCTCAGAGATTCCGGTGGATGCAACTGAAATTCTTCCACCGAATGAAAATGGTGTGGAAAAATCTCCTCTCACCGATGAAAATGATAATTGTGCCTCGTGTAAAACTCAACAATTGGATACAGCAACACCACCTCCAACATCAGGGGAGAGTCTTCGAACAGAGCAACCTCCACCCCAAAAGGTGGCCAAATGGGAAACAAGCACAGTTGCGGCTCAAACGAATGCTAGCAGTAGTATAACGACAACCTCCACGAGCACATTAGCCACCACCATCTCCACCTCGACTACAACAACACGATCCAGTGTTTTGACCACCTCGAAGTTACAACAAAGACCCCATCACTACAACACCAATCTGATGGGTTATAAAAATAAATTTAGCTCACAAATGGTGGCCACCTCATCCGCGACAGGGACAGCAGCAACAATGGGTGGCGGTGGTTCCCTAATGAGACGCAAGGAACCCAACGCCGCCGCCGCCGGTAAATGTAAACTCCTGATATCCATTGATTTCTGGGAAAACTACGACCCAGCTGAGGTATGCCAAACTGGTTTTGGCCTCATCATTACAGAGACAGTGGCGCAGCGCGCCCTCTGTTTTCTCTGCGGTTCAGCTGGCCAGGATCCATTGATATTTTGCGCATGTTGCTGTGAACCCTATCATCAGTATTGTGTCCAGGATGAATTCAATCTCAAACATGGTTCTCTGGATGAAACTTTGCTTCTGAATGAAAGTTGTCTCAGTATTACGGCTGGTGGCGGCTCAGCCACCAATACCGCCATTGCCAAACTAAATTGGCTATGTCCCCGCTGTACGGTGTGCTATACATGTAATATGTCTTCCGGTGCTAAGGTGAAATGTCAAAAGTGTCAGAAAAACTATCACTCAACGTGTTTGGGTACCAGCAAAAGGCTCCTGGGGGCCGATCGCCCTCTGATCTGTGTTAATTGTTTGAAATGTCGTTCGTGTTCCACGACAAAGGTTACGAAATTTGTTGGTAATCTCCCAATGTGTACGAGCTGTTTTAAGCTGCGGAAAAGGGGCAACTTCTGCCCGGTATGTCAGAAATGTTACGATGATCAGGATTTCGATTTGAAAATGATGGAATGCGGCGATTGTCATCAATGGGTTCATGCGAAGTGTGAAACGTTGACCGATGAACAATACAATCTGCTGAGTACCCTGCCGGAATCTATAGAATTTATATGTAAACGATGTTCCCGAAAATCCCAGGAGGCTAAGCAAAGGGCTAATGAATGGCGTGAGGCGGTGCGTGAAGAATTTCAATCGAATTTGATGAGTGTCCTGAAGCTGCTGAGTAAATCGCGGCAGGCTTGTTCTTTGCTGCGCCTAAGTCCCAGGAAGCAAATGAAATGTTCCTGTGGCGGATCCGGCAGCAACAACAATAACAACAACAGTAAATATCAACCCAAATCTTTGCAATTTAATCAGGAGAGTTCGATCGCCACCCCCTCGAACTTAAATATCGATGTATATGAATTTGATGATCAGGAAAGGGATGTGGAATCCATGGCCCCACCCACCCCCTTGGCCATGGAGAAGAAATGCATTTGCAATAATGCCTACAATAATTCCGGTACCTCTTCTACACTCTCCTCCTCCCCCTCTCCGGGGTCGTCATCACAACAAAACCTTAGTCTGGTGGAAATAAAACAGAAAATCACCACAGACAAATATCAATCCCTGGCCGAGTTCCACTACGATATGTCGCAGGTCATACACCAGGCGAATTGTGATGAATTGGAAATTGTCTATAAAGAGCTACTATCCGAACAATTCCCCTGGTTTCAAAATGAAACTCAAGCCTGTACAGATGCCCTGGAAGAGGATATGTATGAAACGTCCGGAGGAGCCTATGGTCTCAACACCTCATTGGATTCAGAAAATGACTATCAAATGGATTGCCTACCCTCGGCCGAAGAACAACATGAAGAGGCTCAAAGATCCGCACTCCTTGCAGAATTACCACAAGATTTAGAGGAACAGTTATATGGCATCAAGACACGACAAGATTCCCGCATTTGTTTATTTTGTCGACGTACCGGCGAGGGTCTACCCCATGAAGAATCACGACTACTATATTGTGGTCACGACTGTTGGGTACACACAAATTGCGCTTTATGGTCCGCTGAGGTTTTCGAAGAAATTGATGGCTCTCTGCAGAATGTCCATTCCGCAGTGGCTCGGGGTCGAATGATCAAATGCTCCGTTTGTGGTAATCGTGGGGCTACAGTGGGTTGTAACATAAAGTCGTGTGGTGAACATTATCATTACCCCTGTGCCAGGGCCAAAAATTGTGCCTTCTTGGCCGATAAATCTATGTATTGCCCGGCTCATGCTCCCAGTGAAAATTCCGCCAACTTTGAAACCCAATTTGATGTCCTACGGCCGGTCTATGTGGAATTGGAAAGGAAAAGGAAAAAGCTGGTCGAGCCCTCCAAGGTCCAGTTTCACATTGGCTCTTTAGAGGTCAAGCAATTGGGTCACATCTTACCCAGATTCTCTGATACCTATGAGGCTTTGGTGCCGGTGAATTTTTTGTGTTCCCGCCTTTATTGGTCCTCCAAGGAGCCATGGAAAATTGTCGAGTACACGGTGAGGACTTATATACAAAATTCCTCAAGTTCTACACTCTCAGTGGGGTCTTTGGATATGGGTAAAAATTTCACAGTGGACCATAGCCAATCGAATACGGCCCTTATACATTTGGGTCTAACACAAATACAACAATGGCATTCGAGTTTAAATCGTAACATGGAGTGTATGGACTCTATGGAGGATTATGATTATTTCCCACACCACAACAACAACCATCACAATTCGGTGGGGAATAATAATAGTGCTCAAGATCAAGTGAATCCCCCTGATGAGGAACCTCAAACAAATGCCGATCTTTTGCCACCGGAAATCAAAGAAGCCATTTTTGAAGATTTACCGGGAGATCTTTTGGAGGGTATTTCCATGTTGGACATATTCACCAAATGTATGAATTATGAAGATATGGCCCAGGGGGAGCAAACACCCCTTACCGCCGATGAGGATACCATGACTTCGATGGGGGCTTTTACCAAACAATTTACGGCAGAATTAAATAATGGTTGGCCCTCCTCCACCTCGGGTGTAAGCAGCAGTGATGAGGGTCTATTTTCCACCACCCAGGTAGCCACAGCCGCTGCTGCCAAGTTGCAAAAGCTCAAGAAGTCCTCTTCGCCCATTATCAACTGTGGCGATGTCAATGCCAAGAATGCCATTAAAAGGCGTAAAATCTCAGAAAATATGCTAATCAGCATCAATCAACATCAGCAGCAGCAGGCGAGGGGTCACAAAAAGGATTCCTCCAGTTCCAGACTGGAATCCACATCCAATAAACGTAGTTTCACCTGGAGTGCCGAGAAGCGTTACAATTTGGAATCATCCAATGGCGATTCGAAGTTGAAAATAATGCAAGTGGATGGTGTTGATGATTCCGTGACGGAGTTTCGTTTTATCCAGCAGGATAATACCGCCATTAAGTGTGAACGTTGCCAGTGTGCCTATCGGAACTTAGAGGCATTTCAACGCCACTTGGCCACATGTAATGGCGGTGGAAATATGGAATCAGAATCGAACTCAGAAATGAATACAGGAACCACGGCAACTACCACGGGTATTACCCTGGAACAATTACAGGAATTAAATAATAAATTACAACAACAGCAGCAGCAACAACAGCGGGCAGCTTCGCAATTACCATTCCTGCAGGCCATACCCAGTAATCAAACGTTGCAGCAACAGTTACAGGGTCTTCAGGCAGCCACTTCAACATCCCTCCCGCTGCAGCTGCAAAATGTACAAAATCTGCAGCAGCTACAACAATTACAACAACTACAACAATTGGCTCAAAACCCTCAAACATTGGCGCCGGGTAATTTCTTTATATCCACCACCACGACAAATCCCTCGGCGCCGGAGGTTAGCAATGCCGCCGATTTGCAGCTGTATGCCAACGCTTTGCAGGGTCTAACGGCCAATTTAAATGGTACCTTTACCCTGCAGCCGACAACGGCAACAGCGAACAATGCATTTACCCAGCAGCAGCAACAACAACATGTCACTCCACAACCTCAACTATTGGCCTTGTCCACCAATGCTGATGGCACCCAACAAATTATACAATTACCGGCTCACAATACCACCACCCCGGCCACATATCAAACCCTGCAGGCCACTAATACGGATAAGAAAATTATTCTTCCCGTGGGTGGGGGTAAACCCATGAAAACCATGGCCACAAAGGCGGCACAACAGGCGGCTGCGAAGAATAAGCTGAAGGCCACAACTGCGGTAAAGCCGCTGCAATCTAAAGTGCAGATCACCACCACCGCCGCCAATAATGCCAACCAAAATCTGAACACCAACAACCAGGCAGCCACGGCGGCAGCTGCTGCCCAACTCCTAAATCAACAGATCCTGCAACAACTACAGCAGCAGGCCCAGGCCCAACAAAATGCGAACAACACGGCTGGACCTCAACTCGTCTTTCAGACCACCAATCCTGGGAATCCCGGACAGCCACAGATCATTATGCAGCAGCCTCAGCAGAATATCATTTCCTTTGTGACCACCAGTACGGATGGTACACAACAGCCTCAGTTTCAATATGTTACCCTGCCGACGAGCAATAATCACAGTCAACAGGCTCCCACCCTCTTTGCCACCACCACTAATGGTCATCACCATCATCACCAGGCCGCTCAGCCCCTCATGCAATCTGCCTATTTGCAAACAGATGCCAGTGGCAATTTGGTACTGACAAGTGGTCCAGCTCCTGCGCCCCAAACCACTCCTTTACAATTGTTGACAGGTGCAGGATCTCAGGTCATTGGTACCTTAATACAACCTCAAACTTTACAATTGCAGGGTGGTAATGTCATAACCACCAATTCGGCGGAGGGAAATCCCGGCGGTGCAAGTACACAAACCCAACAGCAGGTTATTATTAGCAATGGTACCACAACAACAGGGGCTCCGGGGGCAGCTGGCACCACAGGCTTGGAAATGTTGACCGCTGCAACCCCCGGTGGAGCTCCACAACTGGTGCTGGCGGCCACCAACAACCCACCCATGTATTATGGCCTAGAGACAATTGTCCAAAACACCGTGATGTCATCACAGCAATTTGTCTCCACCGCCATGCCGGGGGTCCTCAGCCAAAATGCTAGCTTTTCGGCAACCACCACGCAAGTATTTCAGGCTAGTAAAATTGAACCTTTGGTGGATATTCCAGCTGGATATGTTTTGCTAAATAATGTGGACCCTAGCCAGGCTGCGGCAGCTATTTTACAGACCGCCCAACAACAACCCCAGGCGGCCAATAATCAGGCTGCAAATCAAGCCACCTTTATTCAAGCTGCCCTGCAACAACAGGCAGCCACTGCAGCTGCCGCAAATTTGGCAGCTGAACAACAACAACATCAGCAGCAGCAACAACATCAACAAAATATTTATCGGCAAGCTTATCCGAATACGATGGCAGCTCAAATTGTGGTTACACCTAATTTGACGACAGCGCAGCAACAACAACAACAGCAGCATCAGACACAACATCAGGTTACTTTGACTCCCACAGTGACTCCTGTTCCTGCAGCAGCCACTCCCCAAGCCACCACCACAACCTATGTGGATCCTAACACCGGTACAATCTACAGTGCCAAGGTTACCCCCATGGCCCAGGCTTCACAGGTGAAGAGGGGAGCTAAGGCCTCAGCCAATCCCGTGACAGCAAATATAACCAAGGTCCAGCCCCAGCAGGTGGTTGTAAATAAGGTAATGCCCAATGTGGCTCAGATCAGCAACCTGCAACAACAACAGCAGCAGGTTTCACAACCGGTGGTCGCCACCGCAACAGCCACACCTCAGCCTCAAGCCCAGCAAACTTTGATTTTAAATAATCCGGCTCCTCAAAAATCGATGAAACAGCAACAACATATGTCTAAACAACAACAACAAGCAAATGTTAATCTATTGAAATCCCAGGAATCTTTAGGCAGTAACAACAACAAGAAAACCAATATGATAAGGCCTCTAAATAAGGCTGAGGTCAAGCCCAAGGTCATGAAAACAGCCACGGCCACCATGGTTACTAAGGGGAATAATTTGAGTCACAATAACACCAACAGTGGTGCCATTTTAAATCCCAACAACAAAATGATTATACTCAAACCCCAGCAGCAACAACAACAACAGAACCTACAGCAGTTGCAGCAACAACAACAACACTTAAATTTAAATCAAAATTTAACGGAGAATCTGCATGCAACCAGCGGCCATTTAGAGGCCTCCAATGTGGCTCTAATGGAAAACCATAACCTTGGAAATAACGCCAACCTCTTGGGCCATAACACCACTTTGGAAAATGTCCACAATAATGATCTCTTGAATCTGCAACAGGGTCAAAATCAACCCGCAACTCAACAGCAGCAACATTACAATGTCCCCGATGCTTTGCTAATGGAAGAAAATTCCTTACAACAACAGCAGCAACAAACATTGACACATTGTTCGTATAACAACAACAGCATTACTAACTTTGAAACCTCCCAGCAACAGCAACAACAACAATCGATTGTGAACACCAACGAAGCCAGCAATCAAATCCTACCCACCATACAGAGAATGCCCCAATACACCAACATTAATATTGTCAACCCCCTGCAGCAATATTCCGCCTCGGCAACAACAACAACTTCGTCCACAGCTTCAACACTATCCAGCCTCAGTAATTCATCGACCACAACTACGGTTACACGACCCACAAATCGGGTTTTACCCATGCAACAGAAAACCTCCACCACCACAATGACCAGCAGCAGCAGCGGTATCATCAGCAGTAGTGGAGGCGGTAACAACAACCACACCGCCATTAGCAACAATTTTGAACACCACAATACAACAATAAATAATTCATCGATGACAGGATTTTGTCACACCTCCACCTCGTCGTCCTCCTCCACAATAACCAGCAGCAGTAGTAGTACCACAACAAGTACCATTAATTCTTCTCCAGCCGATTTGAATACAAATCTGTCGATAACGGAAGAATCCGCAGGCCTGATGAAGACCCATAGCCTAAATAAAATTGCCTATGAGGCTGAGGTGAAGCAGATGTTGCTACATTCGCCAAATCCTCAGCAGGAGGCAACCATGCAGCAGCATCTACAGCAACAGCAGGTTATGTATCTGCAACAACAGCAAAATGCGGCAGCGGCTATAACTTTAATGCCACCCAAGGCCTCAACACCACCCTTGGCTAGTTATGAGTTGAACAACAAACCCGAGGACTCTGCAAAATTGTGTTATGTTCCCCAGGTTCAAGGTCACAATTATAATGAAGATCCCACAAACCCCACAGAGGAATGCCATCTTCTCCCCGAACCCAAATTTCCAGCGGAAGCAGAAATCCTTCTATCACCCCACGATAGCAATGTGGAAAAGGAAAATGAAGAGGTTGTGGCCTTGGGTATAACCGCACCGCAACCTTCAGAAAACATTATTATGACTCCAGAGGAGCAACAACAACCAGTCACCCCCCTTGAGCCCGAAAATCCCGTGGATGATTTGCATAATAACGCCGATGACGATGATGACGACGACGAAGATGATGATGGTTTTAGTTTGAAAATGCCCTCTACAAATTGTTCGGACAACCTCTCCATGGATAGTGATGAGCCGGCGGTAAAGGAGAAAATCAGTAAAATTTTGGATAACCTGACCAATGAGGAGTGTAACGAAGCCCTACAGGCGGCAAGCAGCAATAACTCACCACTAATAGAGGTCCACACCCCAGGGGATTTAAATGTGAACGAAGAACAAAATTACCTAAGTCCCCAGCAACAACAACAACAAATGCAGACCTCTGCCGAACAACAACTTTCCGAAGAATTTTACAGTACCAGTACCCCTGAAGAAACTTCGGCCCTAATTGCCGATGTGGAATTGGCGGTGGAGAATATCAAAGAGAAGTTACAGGAAAAACTGCAAGAATCCGCACAACTATGTCCCAGCAACTCTCAAGAATATCAAGCTGCAGTTGTAGAGACGCTAATGGAAACTCAACAGCAACAACAGAGTACCCAAAACCCCCTAACCATTTGTCAGACCGCACCTCCTCCCCAACCACCCACAAGGCAGCCCAAACGTGTCACTGGACCCCATCTACTATACGAAATTCAAAGTGAAGATGGCTTCACCTACAAATCCACCTCCATTGCTGAGGTTTGGGAAAAAGTATTCGAAGCGGTACAAGTTGCCCGGCGAGCCAATGGTTTGGCTCCACTGCCGGAAGGTCCCTTGGCCGATATGAGCGGTGTACAAATGATTGGCTTGAAAACCAATGCCTTGAAATATCTCATTGAACAATTACCCGGAGTGGAGAAGTGCAACAAATACACCCCCAAATATCATAAAAAACAAAGCCCCTCCAGTCATGGTGGTTCGCAGAGCAGTATTTCATCACATTTAAGTGGTAGTCTATCGGCCATATGTTCCAGTTCGTTAAGTAATTCTTCAATGGGTGGTGGTGTGGGAACACTTAGCAGCTCTTCGTGCCTGGATGTTGATGGCAATAGTTTGGATTACAACTCCGAACAAGAGGAACTCATTGAGAATCCTTATGATTGTGCCAGATGTGAACCATATTCGAAGCGATCGGAATATGATATGTTTAGTTGGTTGGCGTCGCGGCATCGTAAACAACCTGTACAGGTGTTTGTACAACCATCGGATAATGAATTGGTGCCAAGGTAAGGAAATTTTTTCGTTGGTTTACTTTGAAGTTATTGACAAATTCTTTTGCATACTTTAAGGCGCGGAACTGGCAGCAATCTTCCCATGGCCATGAAATATCGCACTTTAAAGGAAACTTATAAAGATTATGTAGGGGTTTTCCGTTCTCACATACATGGAAGGGGTCTATACTGTACAAAGGATATTGAGGCTGGTGAGTAAAGGACAATAGTTTTTAAAAGAAATATTTCTAAGAAATATTTCTATAGAGAAACAATACTCCTGGCCCCAGGAGTAGCTTTTTTCTATAGAAAAACAACACTCCAGGGGTCAGGAGAATTTTTTTCTATAGAAAAACAACACTCCTGGGGTCAGGAAATTTTTTTTTCTATAAAAAACAACACTCCAGTGGTCAGGAGAATTTTTTTTCTATAGAAAAACAACACTCTTGGGGTTAGGAGAATTTTTTTCTATTGAGGAACAATACTCCTGGCCCCAGGAGTAGCTTTTTTTCTATAGAAAAACAACACTTCTGGGTTCCCTTAGTTTTTTGTTGGGATATTCTCCCCAGAAAATTGTACCCAGGGTCCCAATGAATTTTTTTCTATAGCAAAAAATTGTACCCAGGGTCCCAATGAATTTTTTTCTATAGCAAAAAATTGTACCCAGGGTCCCAATGAATTGTTTTCTATAGCAAAAATTGTACCCAGGGTCCCAATGAATTTTTTTCTATAGCAAAAAATTGTACCAAGGGTCCCAAGGATTTTTTCTATCGCAAAAAATTGTACCCAAGGTCCCAATGAATTTATTTCTATGGCAAAAAATTGGACCAAGGACCCCAAAGACTTTTTTCTAAAAAAAATTGTACCCAAATTTTTTCTATTGGACCAAGGGTCACATGATTTTTTTTCTGTAGCAAAAAAATCGGACCAAGGGTCCCAATTTTTTTATATAGCAACAAATTGGACCAAGGGTCCCAATTTTTTTATATAGCAACAAATTGGACCAAGGGTCCAAATTAATTTTTTTTCTAAAGCAAAAAATCGGACCAAGGGTCCCAATAAATGCTTCCCTATAGCAAAAATTGGAACGAATGCCCTGACGAATTTTTCCTATAACAGAAAATTGGACCAAGGGTCCCAACAATTTTTTTCTATAGCAAAAATTTTGACTAAATTGAATTCCTTGTCAGTTTTTATTAAATTCTGAATATTTCCTTCTTCCTTCCTTTCAGGTGAAATGGTCATTGAATATGCTGGTGAATTAATACGCTCCACCCTGACCGATCAGCGAGAACGGTATTACAACAGCCGTGGCATTGGCTGTTATATGTTTAAAATCGATGATAATTTAGTTGTAGACGCCACAATGAGGGGCAATGCAGCCAGATTTATAAATCATTCATGTGAGGTAAGTTGAGAGCCCAATAGTCTGATCCGTTCTCCTCACTTCTAGAGATGGGAGATTTCTTACATTTATAAACCACATTTTTCTAATATCAATAACTAATTCCTCTTCCTTCTACTTCCAGCCCAATTGCTATTCCAAAGTTGTGGATATACTTGGCCATAAACATATTATCATCTTTGCCCTGCGACGCATTGTCCAGGGCGAGGAGTTAACCTATGACTACAAATTTCCATTCGAGGATGAGAAAATACCCTGCTCGTGTGGCTCGAAAAAATGTCGGAAGTACTTAAACTAAATAGAAAGAAAGAAAAAATGAAACAAAAAACCCTGAATGATGGTGGCTGGCATCAAGTGGCCGAAGCCTCAAGTGATTTAAAAGTGATTTGAATGAAAAACAAAAACAATTTTTATTTTAATTATTACGATTATGTATTATGTAATTGTGTGTAATTTATAAATACTATATATAAATATATTTATATACTCATTAGTTTAAATGTTGAATGCCCTAACCATGCCATGCAGAGCAAAACAAACAAACCGGAAAAAATGAGAATTTCTCAAAAAAAGGCAACGAAGTTTTATTTTTCTCAAAATGTTAAAAACAAAAGAAAACAAAGTTATATGGAATTATCTTGACTTCTTTATATTCCCCCCTCAAAAAAAGCTCCCAAGGAAAAAGCAAACTTCCCCTATGCGAAGTTTTATGTAAAATTGTATTTAAGCAAAGCCACACACTTACACCACCAACATACACTATTTTTAATGTGTGCTGTGTGTGTGGTCATAATGATATTAATTATAATTATTTTTTTGTCGTCTTGTATAAATGTTAAGTAAGTTTAAAAATCTATAAAGAAAAAAATTTATAACAGTATTCCGAAAAAAAAAAATATTAAGAAATTTTTCTCTTAAAGAAAAGCGTTTAAAAAATACTAAAAAAACAACAAAACCATACAACTATTTTTTAAACATGTAATGTTAGTTTGGAAAAAAACATAACATAGAAATGCTACAAAGAAGAAAACAACAATATATATATATTTTTCGTAAGCTTTTTTCCAATAATTATTTTTGTTCGATATTTTTTGTTTTGTTTTTGTGTGAAGAAAAGCAAATGTGTAGCTTACAAAAATATATATTAAATATTTAATCTCTTTATAAAAACAGGGTGTGACAAAATGTTGGTATTTAAAATTAGGAAAATGAAAAAAACCGAACCAGAAAAATTAAAAAATGCCTTTGCAATAGAAAAAAATTATTAAAACAGTCGGGTCTATCTTACACTTGGGCCTATTTCTTCAATATAAAAAAAAAATCATCAAACCCTTGGGCCTATTTTTTCTATAAAAATAAAATCATTCGGCCCCTGGTCAAATTTTTTGCTACAGAAAAAAAATTCATTAAGATCATTTTTTTCTATGGAAAGAATTCGTTGAGACCCTTGGGTCAATTTTTTCTTATAGAAAAAAATTTATTGAGAACCTAGGGTCAATTTTTTCCTATAGAAAAAAATTCATTGAGACCCTTGGGTCAATTTTTTCCTATAGAAAAAAATTCATTGAGACCCTGGGGTCATAGAAAAAAAATTCATTGAGACCCTTGGGTCAATTTTTTCCTATAGAAAAAAATTCATTGAGACCCTTGGGTCAATTTTTTCCTATAGAAAAAAAAATCATTGAGACCCTTGGTTCAATTTTTTCCTATAGAAAAAAATTCGTTGAGATTCTTGGGTCAATTTTTTCCTAAAAAAAAATCGTTGAGACCCTTGGTCGATTTTTTTTATAGAAAAAAATTGCGTTGAACCCTTGGTCGATTTTTTTTTATAGAAAAAAATTGCGTTGAAACCCACCTTGGGTCGATTTTTTCTATATAGAAAAAAATTCGTTGAGACCCACCTTGGGTCGATTTTTTTCTATATAGAAAAAATTCATTGAGACCCTTGGTTCGATTTTTTTCTATAGAAAAAATTCATTGAGACCCTTGGGTCGATTTTTTTCTATAGAAAAAAAATCGTTGAGACCCTTGGTCAATTTTTTTTTATAGAACAAAATTGCGTTTAGACCCACCTTGGGTCGATTTTTTTCTATATACAAAAAATTCGTTGAGACCCACCTTGGGTTGACTTGTTTTTCTATGGAAAAAATTCGTTAAGACCCACAATTCGTTGAGACCCACATTCGTGGGTCGATTTTTTTCTATGGAAAAAATTCGTTAAAACCCAGTTTGGGTCGATTTTTTCTATAGAAAAAAATCGTTGATACCCAGTTTGGGTCGACTTTTTTCTATATAGAAAAAAAATTCGTTGAGACCCAACTTGGGTCGATTTTTTTCTATGGAAAAAAGTTCGTTAGAACTTTGAATCTATTTTTTTCTAAAGAAATTCCTTCTTCAAGCTCTTTTTATTTTTTTATTTTAATGCCATCATTTTGAAACATCCTGTGTATATATTCTTTTTTATAAATATATAAAAAAACCCATGTTTAAAAATGTATACATTTCTATATATAAATATATTTATTTGTAATGCATCTATATATACATATATTTAAAAACAAAACTAATAAATTAAACATTGTGTAATTGTTATTAAGTTTACAAACATCTCTATAAATATATATACAAAAAAATAATATTATATTAATTAACAAAAAAAAAAAAATATTTAATCCTTATTCTTATTACAATATATATATATATATATATAATTATACATAAATATGTATAAAAAATAATTATTATTTTTTTAAAAAAAAAACGTTTTTAAATATTTAATTTTAATTATAATTTTGTGTAGGAAGACAATGATTATAAAAACAAACCCCAATGGAAGATAATAATGTTTATGGTATTCTAAATATTGATTTTTATTTTATATATAACATTATATATATACATATATTATTTGTAGATTTTTTGTTTAATTTAAGGCTCCAATAATGTAAAGTGCAAATTTCATATTGCTTTCACACACACACACACACTACTCTCGTAATCCGTTCAATAATTGTTCTTATTAATTATTATTAAAAATAATTATTATATATATATAAAAAAACTCTGTAAATCTTTTATTTTGTATTTTGAGTAATTAGCATTTTAATATATTTAATTTGCTAATTTATTTTCCAATGTTTTTTTAATTGTATTTGTTTTAAATTTAAATGAGAAACATTTTTACAGGGGTTTTTAAAAACATGAACATTTGAAAATAAAAAAATAGTTTTGCTTGTAAATAAAAAACCGAAACTCTTCAAGAAGAAATTCAATAAAAATAATAATTATTAATTTTATTTTATATATACATTATTTTTATTATTATTTTCAAATAATTTCCCCTAGCACTTAGCTGCAAAACAAACAAACCACAACAACAACTATAATAATTATTATAAAAAAAACAAACAACAACTAAACTAAATCTCTCTCTTTTTTGTTATAAACTTTTAATGATTGAAATAATGATGACGATGATATATATAAATTAAAAAAAAATAATAATATATATTATTATTAACGTAACAAAGTACACTAAAAACAAAGCAAAACAAACTAACTAATATTATTCTTAAAACTAAAACAAAAAAAAAAAAACGTACACACACATCACATTATAAGCGAAACTTTTTTTGTGGAAACAAAAATAGGTCAGGTTATTCGAGAAGAAGAAGAAGAAGTGGAAGACGAAGCGAAAGAAAAACTACTTTCATAAAAATACAAAAAATAAATGAAAAATCATAACTACAAAAAATAAATTCCGAACGTTGTTTTCATTTCAATGGGATGCGGAACTAGAGGGTCAATACGTCTACAGGCTAGTGGAAAAGAATGGGAGCCTGAAGAGGGAGTCTTTCATAGACGAGCTGAAAGGCAGGGAGTCTTTCATAGACGAGCTGAAGTGAAGGGAGTCTTTCATAGACGAGCTGAAGTGAAGGGAGTCTTTCATAGACGAGCTGAAGTGAAGGGAGTCTTTCATAGACGAGCTGAAGTGAAGGGAGTCTTTCATAGACGAGCTGAAGTGAGGGAGTCTTTTATAGACGAGCTGAAGCAGCGAGTCTTTTATAGAGCTGAGCTGAAGCAAGCAGGGAGTCTTTCATAGACGAGCTGAAGTGAAGGGAGTCTTTCATAGACGAGCTGAAAGGCAGGGAGTCTTTCATAGACGAGCTAAAAGGCAGGGAGTCTTTCATAGACGAGCTGAAGCAGGGAGTCTTTCATAGACGAGCTGAGCAGGGAGTCTTTCATAGACGAGCCTGAAGGGGGAGTCTTTATAGACGAGCCTGAAGAGGGAGTCTTTATAGACGAGCTGAAAGGGAGTTTTTTAAGACGAGCTGAAGGGCAGGGATTTTTTTTAGACGAGCTGAAGCAGGGAGTCTTTCATAGACGAGCTGAAGCAGGGAGTCTTTCATAGACGAGCTGAAGCAGAGAGTCTTTCATAGACGAGCTGAAGCAGGGAGTCTTTCATAGACGAGCTGAAGCAGGGAGTCTTTCATAGACGAGCCTGAAGGGGGAGTCTTTATAAACGAGTCTGAAGAGGGAGTCTTTATAGACGAGCTGAAAGGGAGTTTTTTAGACGAGCTGAAAGGCAGGGATTTTTTTTAGACGAGCTGAAGCAGGGAGTCTTTCATAGACGAGCCTGAAGCAGGGAATGTTTCATAGACGAGCCTGAAGCAGGGAATGTTTCATAGACGAGCTGAAGCAGGGAGTCTTTCATAGACGAGCTGAAGTGAAGGGAGTCTTTCATAGACGAGCTGAAGCAGGGAGTCTTTTATAGACGAGCTGAAGTGAAGGGAGTCTTTCATAGACGAGCTGAAGCAGGGAGTCTTTCATAGACGAGCTGAAGTGGAGGGAGTCTTTCATAGACGAGCTGATGAGGGACTCTTTAAAGACGAGCAGAAGGGAGTTCGTTGAGACCCACTACTTCGTGGGTCGATTTTTTTCTATAGAAAAAAATTACGTTGAGACCCACTACTTCGTGGGTCGATTTTTTTCTATAGAAAAAAATTACGTTGAGACCCACTCCTTCGTGGGTCGATTTTTTTCTATAGAAAAAAATTACGTTGAGACACACTACTTCGTGGGTTGATTTTTTTCTATAGAAAAAAATTACGTTGAGACCCACTACTTCGTGGGTCGATTTTTTTCTATAGAAAAAAATTACGTTGAGACCCACCTTCGTGGGGCGATTTTTTTCTATAGAAAAAAATTGCGTTGAGACCCACCTTCGTGGGGCGATTTTTTTCTATAGAAAAAAATTGCGTTGAGACCCACCTTCGTGGGGCGATTTTTTTCTATAGAAAAAAATTGCGTTGTGACCCACCTTCGTGGGGCGATTTTTTTCTATAGAAAAAAATTGCGTTGAGACCCACCTTCGTGGGGCGATTTTTTTCTATAGAAAAAAATTGCGTTGAGACCCACCTTCGTGGGGCGATTTTTTTCTATAGAAAAAAATTGCGTTGAGACACACCTTCGTGGGGCGATTTTTTTCTATAGAAAAAAATTGCGTTGAGACCCACCTTCGTGGGGCGATTTTTTTCTATAGAAAAAAATTGCGTTGAGACCCACCTTCGTGGGGCGATTTTTTTCTATAGAAAAAAATTGCGTTGAGACCCACCTTCGTGGGGCGATTTTTTTCTATAGAAAAAAATTGCGTTGAGACCCACCTTCGTGGGGCGATTTTTTTCTATAGAAAAAAATTGCGTTGAGACCCACCTTCGTGGGGCGATTTTTTTCTATAGAAAAAAATTGCGTTGAGACCCACCTTCGTGGGGCGATTTTTTTCTATAGAAAAAAATTGCGTTGAGACCCACCTTCGTGGGGCGATTTTTTTCTATAGAAAAAAATTGCGTTGAGACCCACCTTCGTGGGGCGATTTTTTTCTATAGAAAAAAATTGCGTTGAGATCCTTGGGTCGTTTTTTTTGCTATAGAAAAAAATGAGACCCTTAAGTCGATTTTTTGCTATAGAAAAAAATGAGACTTTGAGTCGATTTTTTGCTATAGAAAAAAATTTGTTGAGACCCTTGGATCGATTTTTTGCTATAGAAAAAATTACGTTGAGACCCATCTTGGGTCGATTTTTTGCTATATAAAAAATTACGTTGAGACCCATCTTGGGTCGATTTTTTTCTATATAGAAAAAATTCGTTGAGACCCATCTTGGGTCGATTTTTTTTTCTATATAGAAAAAAATTCGTTGAGACCCATCTTGGGTCGATTTTTTTCTATATAGAAAAAAATTCGTTGAGACCCATCTTGGGTCAATTTTTTCTACATAGAAAAAAATTCGTTGAGACCCATCTTGGGTCGATTTTTTTCTATATAGAAAAAAATTCGTTGAGACCCATCTTGGGTCGATTTTTTTCTATATAGAAAAAAATTCGTTGAGACCCATCTTGGGTCGATTTTTTTCTACATAGAAAAAAATTCGTTGAGACCCATCTTGGGTCGATTTTTTTCTATATAGAAAAAAATTCGTTGAGACCCATCTTGGGTCGATTTTTTTCTATATAGAAAAAAATTCGTTGAGAGCCTTGGGTCGATTTTTTTCTATATAGAAAAAAAATTCGATGAGACCCATCTTTTTTTGTATAGAACAAAATCGATGAGACCTAAGGTTAATTTTTTTTCTTATACTGTGAAACCCCTTTCGATTAAATTTTAATCAGTTCTTGACATTGAATCTTAACAAAATGAAAATAAATGTTTTTGTATATTTCTGGATTTTATTCCTTTTCATTCTACAGATCTGTGGAACTGAATCTAAGAATATTCTAAAAGTAAGTTAATTTTTAAGAGGTCCATGAAAAACATATTCAGTCCCCTTATCCAATTTTAGGGTAAGATGAAACGCATGATATCAAATCCCTACACCGATATGGTATTGGCTGCCCAGGTGCCACCATTAATGTCAGAATATTCCGAGGCGTACAGTGATAATTCCGAGCAGGGTAATACACCACAATGCGATAACTCGGCGAGACCGATTATTACCCGCGGCAATCCACGAGAAAAACCTACAAATATTGCCCAGCAAGCAGCCGAAGAAGCCAAGGCTGCCACCGATGCTCAGGTGTCTGCCGGTCAGGCAGCTGCACGACAAGTCAAAATGCAATTGGCCGAAAAAGCCAACCAAGCAGCGAGGGCTGCTGAGGCAGCACTGGCTGGGAAACAACAAATTATGGAACAACTACAGCAGGAGGTGAGGGAAGCTGAAGCCGTTGTCCAAGAGCAAAGCATTTCCCTGCATAATTCACAACAAAATTTACAAGCTGCCGCAAAGGCCGCGGAACAGTCGCAGGCCCAGTTAAAAATTTTAAGTCAAGCTCTTGAAATGGCCAAGTCTAGTCTTGGGAATTCTGAACAAGCGGCAAATGGAGCTCAAGCGGAATATGCTGAGAAGCAACAATTATTGGAGGCTGCCAAAAATCGTGTCGAACAATTACTACGTCAGCTGAGTAGTGCTCGGGCGGAGTTCACATCGACCAAACAGGCAGCCTATAAAGCTGCCTGTGCCGCCCATGATGCCAAAATTAATGCTCAGCGGGATCGACGTCATCAGTTGCAAAGACGTTCTCAAAAACCTAAGCGTAGGCATTCGGATGATCATCACAAGCTTTAAAAAGGAATTGCGAATATGTTTGCCGATTTGTCTATTTTGTTGTTTTTATATTTTATTTATTAAATATTTATTACAGATCTCTTATCTGCCTGGATCAAATATATAATTATTTTTTTTAATAGGGAACTGCCTGTCCTCAAGTCCATAAGCACTTCTTTTTCTATAGAAAAAAATTCCTCAGTACCCTGAGGATTTCTTTTTCTATAGAAAAAAATCCTCAGCACTCTGAGGACTTCTTTTTCTATAGAAAAAAATTCGTCAGGTCCCACCTGAGGACTTCTTTTTCTATAGAAAAAAATCCTTAGTACCCTGAGGACTTCTTTTTCTATAAAAAAAATCCTCAGTACCCTGAGGACTTCTTTTTCTATAGAAAAAAATCCTCAGTACCCTGAGGACTTCTTTTTCTATAGAAAAAAATCCTCAGTACCCTGAGGACTTCTTTTTCTATAGAAAAAAAAAATCCTCAGTAACCTGAGGACTTCTTTTTCTATAGAAAAAAAATCCTCAGTAACCTGAGGACTTCTAATTCTATAGAAAAAAAAATCCTCAGTATCCTGAGGACTTCTTTTTCTATAGAAAAAAATCCTCAGTACCCTGAGGACTTCGTTTTCTATAGAAAAAAATCCTCAGTACCCTGAGGACTACTTTTTCTATAGAAAAAAATTCGTCAGGTCCCACCTGAGGACTACTTTTTCTATAGAAAAAAAATTCGTCAGGTCCCACCTGAGGACTATTTTTTCTATAGAAAAAAATTCGTCAGGTCCCACCTGAGGACTACTTTTTCTATAGAAAAAAATTCGTCAGGTCCCACCTGAGGACTACTTTTTCTATAGGAAAAAAATCGTCAGGTCCCACCTGAGGACTACTTTTTCTATAGAAAAAAAATCGTCAGGTCCCACCTGAGGACTACTTTTTCTATAGAAAAAAATTCGTCAGGTCCCACCTGAGGACTACTTTTTCTATAGAAAAAAATTCGTCAGGTCCCACCTAAGGACTACTTTTTCTATAGAAAAAAATTCGTCAGGTCCCATCTGAGGGCTACTTTATCTATACAAAAAAATTCGTCAGGTCCCACCTGAGGACTACTTTTTCTATAGAAAAAAATTCGTCAGGTCCCACCTGAGGACTACTTTTTCTTTAGAAAAAAATTCGTCAGATCCCAACTTAGGAGTACTTTTTCTATAGAACAAAAATTCGTTAGGTCCCTCCTGAGGACTTCTTTTTCTATAGAACAAAAATTCGTCAGGTCCCACCTGAGGACTTCTTTTCTATAGAAAAAAATCCTCAGGTCCCTGAGGACTTCTTTTCCTACAGGAAAAAAATTGCTCAGATCCCTGAGAACTTATTTTTTGTGTTAAAAAGCTTGTCTTTGAAACTCCCTGGCCCCTTATAGGGTCCTTTATTGTTCACATATCCGATATGTTTCTTTTTATTAATTTTATTTTGCTTACATCCGAACTTATATAAATACATAAATAAAATAATTAAAACAGAATACTTGAAGGTTGAAAATGAAATCTGAAATTATCTGTTATACAAATCAGGTCCAAGTAGATTTAATTCCGATTATTGTTTTTCTGCTGCAACAGATTTTTTCTCGGCGACTTCTCACGACCCCTCTCATTGGGACGTCTCTTAACGATATTATGCTGTTGTTCCGAATCACTTTTTTCATGTGCCGCAATTGTTATCGAAGCCGAGGATTCGCTAAGTTCCACATTGGCATGCAGCCCGGCATCATTGGCATTCAGTTGGGCTTCTTGAGCCGATTGGGTAGCCTTTTCCGCCGCCTCTTTTGTCTCTTCATAATCCAGACGTGCCGAATAGAGATGCGATTCGATTTGTTCCAATTTCGATTTAGCCTGGGCAACCATATCAATTTGTGAGGCCAGCTCGGCAGCAGCTTCAGAAGCTGATTTCTGGGCCAGTTCCGATGCAGCTTGAGCATTGTTGAGGGCCGCCGTTAGAACGGAGACATGTTGCAGGGCCTGTTGGGCAGAATATTGTGCCGCCTTGGCAGAACGTTTGGCTTGTTGCAACTGTTGCAGTTCACTCTGCATTACCTTGTGTGCCTCGACACTTTGTTCCTCCAGACGTTGTAGTAGAACTTCTTTACCCTTGAGGACGGCAACTGCAGTGCCGGCGGCTTGGACGGCAGCCTGAGCCAAAGTACTTTTGGCAATATAGGCGGCCTGTTTGGCGGCAGCATTTTGGGAATTCACTGCAGAGTTGGCCTGATCCGCAGAACCTTTTGCAATGCTACGCAAGCCATTATCTACCAGGAAGGAACTTCCCGTTGCAGCAGGTGAATGAGCATAATGGGGATCAACTTCATAGTGTGCTCCCTCGTAATGTGTCTGCCGATGGTGGGGATTGTGTGGAGGTGGCTGCTCATTGGCATACTCCTCATAGCGTACCTCTTCAAATTGATAGGGTTCAGCAAGGCCGGAGGGAGAGGCTGGTTGTTGTGGCGGCAGGGGCGGTATACTGAATGCTCCCTTTCTCTTGACTTTACGTGCCGATGCTAGGGAAACTGTGGGGCAAAAGAGGAAAGTAGGGCAATTTAATAAAGATATGGATTGGAGTGTATAATTTCGGAAGGCTCTTACCCAGCAGTATAATTAAGATGTACTTCATATAGGCCATACTGCAGAAGAGAACTGTAAAGAAAGGGGGTCTTAATATTTATTTTAAAACAAGTTGCAGAATTACGTTCAATAATTTTAAATAAACAATTTTTCCTGGGTCATCAGATTAAAAAAAAAAAATCTGGATCGATGACTCATTTATGTTCTCTGGACTTGAGCACTATTTTTTCTATAGAATAAACTCATATTTACATTTCAGGATCTCTATACTTTTTTCTACAGAAGAACGCCTTGTGCAGAAGTTTTTTTTGCTAACGAATCAAATCTTCAGAACCAATTTTTAATTAAGAATTTTAAGATCCTGATGACAATATTTTTCCTATAAAAAAATTCTTCAGAATCTAAGGAAATTTTTTTATAAAAAAACCTAAAGACACATTTTTTCATTAGAATAAAAATTCACTGAACCTGGGGACCACATTTTTTATAAAAAATCCTCAGGACCTAAGTACGAATTTATACAAAGTAATATTCTGAATATGAGGACCTATTTTTCTATAGAATAAAATAGTCAGGACCTGAGACAATTTGTTTCAATGAAAAATCTTCAGATTTTGAGTGATTTTATTGGAAAAAATCTTCATGACCTTTTAAAAAATTCTCAGGTTCAATACATTTTTTTCATAAAAAAATCTTCAGAATTTAAATACCAGTTCTTTCCATAGAATCCTCAGGCCGTCAAAAAAAGTATGTTCTATAGAAATAAATCATCAGAACCCTTGGAAAATATTCTGAAATAAAAGTAAATTAGCAGGACCTGAGGATCTCAGATTTATAGAAAAATCTTCAGTGCATTTTTTTTCATTAAAAAAATCCTCTTAACATGAGCACCAATTTCATTGTATGGAATATTTTCCTGGGAGGTCCAACAAAATATATTCTATAGAAATAAATCAATAGAAGTATTGGAAAATGTTGTGCAATAAATAAAACATATGGAAAAATTCTCCGAATTTCCGAACCATTTCTTCTATAAAAATTCAATAACGTAGGGCCCATTTTTTTATTGAAAACATCCTTAAATTGTTAGAACATTTTTTCTATAGAAAATAAAATCATCAGAATCGGAAGACCAATTTTTTTCTATGCAAGAATTTTTTGTACCTGAAATCCAAAAAATCGTAGGAATTTAAGTGCTGATTTTTGTCTATAGAATTAATTTTCTGGACTTAATGACAATTTTTTACAATAGAAACTAATGTTCAAGTCCTGACGACAAATGTTTGTCTATAGAAAAAATCCGCAACGTGCGGATAAATTTTTATATAAAAAAAATAATCAAAACCCGACAGCCAATTTGTTTTCTTCAGCTCCTATGAACAATTTTTCTTTTTATAGAAAAACAATTGTCTGGACCTGAGGACAAATTTTGATTAATGGAAAAAATATTCCTCAGAACTAATTTGTTTCAATGGAAAAATCTACATCCCTACACAACTATGTTGTCAAGGTATTATAGGGTTGTGCAGCCCCAAGAGTTTGTAACGCCGCGAAATGTTGGTCCTAGACATACCTTTAAGTATATCGATCGTCATATCTCGACTAGCTGAGTCGATCTAGACATGTGTGTCGTCCGTCCGTTTGTAAACCCGATACAGACCACAGTTATGGACCGATCTTCACGAAATTTTGCATGTAGATTGGGTTCTAGCCAATGAAGACCCCTATTGTTTTTGGTAAAGATTGGATAATATTTAGGGGATGAAATGGACCAAATACTTCATTTTTGTCCGTTTTTCTGGTCGCGCGAATTTTTACATGGAGAAGGGGATCGGGCTAAAGAATATGTATGTCTGTTTTGATAAATATCGGTCAATATTTAGCGGGTCAAATGGACCCTTACTTTTGTGTGAAAAATTAAAAAAATGTATTCCAAACCGTATAGATTTACCCCTGAAGAACATAGACCCGAGAAGTTGATAAGAGGAGGAGTGGCGGACGTTTAAATTGCTACCAATTATATTGTCGTATGTACTCGGATGTGGGAGATACACTTAAATATTACAGGTGCTTACGTATTCATATATTATTTAGTAACCCATTACCACACAAGAGTGCGGAAATATAGCGCTGATCGCTTCGAAAATTTCCATGAGGATCCAGGTATGGCCAAGGACAATACCTATAATTTTCGGCGATGAACAGCTAATAATATTGGGATGAAAAGGACTGAAAACTTAATTTTTTCGATTCGATATTGGCCAAGCTCAGAATATAGAATCATAGAAAGTTAGTATTTCGTGGAAGTTGTGTAGGGTGTCATAGGGTCGGCGCCGTCCGACTATACTGCTCCGCTCACTGGTTTTATATTTTTTTCTGCACCTGAAAACTAAAAAGTCGTTAAAACTTGGCAACCATTTTTGAGAAATTAATCCTCAGGACAAAAGCGGAATATATATTTGTTCAAAAGTCTCCATGGTCTTAAAACCACCTCTTATCTATTAAAAATCCACAGATCCTTACATTTTTTTTCTATAGAGAAAAAATCTTCAGATGCTGAAAATATTCGTTGGATAAAATTTGGTCTATAGAAAAAATTGTTCTCACAGCCTAAGGACCAATTGAATTCTATAGAAAAAAATCATTAGGTCCTTTGATTATTTTTGTTTCTACAAAAAAAAATCGTCAGGACCGAAGCACATTTTTTTTGTTAATATAAATGACTTATTCTATAGAAATGAGCCTTCACATGACCTTGGTACAGAATTTTGTCTATAGAAAAAATTCCACAGGGCAATTCACAGGACATCATAATCGGTTTTTTTTTAGAAAAAAATTCTCAGGATCTTAAGGCGCAATTCTGTCCTCAAAACCTGAGGATACATTTTTGTCTATATTAAAAAATTCTCAGGACGTCAGAATCAAGTTTTTTTAGAAAAAAAAAATCCTCAGAACCTGAAGGCGGAAAATTTTGTCTATAGAAATTCACAGGATCTGAAATAGAATTCGTCAGGAGGTGAGGTTAATTTATTTCCATAGATTTTGAGATTAAATATATTAAAAAATTCTCAGGACATCTGGATAAATATTTAAAAAAAATCCTCTGGACCTGAAGGCGGAATTTTTTTCTACAGAATTTCAAAGGATCTGAAATAGAAATCCACAGCATTTCCATAGGTCATGGGAATTTTTTATTAATATTTTTTGTATAGAAATAAATCGCCAGGACCTGAGCACTTTTTTGTTTAAAAATGTTTTTTTTTCACGACATCAGCATCAAAATGTTTTTTAGCAAAAATCAGGACCTGAGGGCGTGATTTTGTCTATAGAAATTCACAGGACCTCACGTATATTTTTTCCATAGAAATACGCAGGAGCTGAGGTTAATTTCCATAGATCCTGGGGAAATCCTTTTTTCTTTGATATTGAAAAAAATCCTCAAGATCAAGTCCTGAAAATTGTGCTCGAGTTCTGAGGAATCATTTTTGTAAAAGTTTTTCATAGAAAAAAATCATCAGGACGAATTGATGGCGAAGATCTGCTGTATTTTAATCCTCATGTTTATGTTGTAACTACACAACGATTTCCAAACATTTAACCATTATTGGCCTGTTCTGTGGACTTATTCCTTTGTTGTTGTTTTTTTTTTAATTTCCAATAATTTAATTTGATTTCACTACATAATTTTTCACACACCTTTGTTCGATTGTGACACCTTTTGCTTTTTGAAATTACACAATTGAACACTTCGAACTTGAACTGCGAACCGTTTATTTATGCGCCGAACACGTCCTTTCGCTTTGAAATTCAATTCCGATTTGAAATGAAAATTTCCTAATACCAAGACAAGGCCATAACCACAGAGCAGATATTTGTTTAAATGGTTAGGCCACCATCCATCCAGATGTATATGGAGTTTTGACCAATTGTTCAAGAAAATTCAATGTCACTACTGTACATAGTGCCTTGGACCCCACTCTCTTCCTCTCGCTCTCTCGCACCTTGATCATATCACAAATAATTAGCTGACTTTTTTGAGTTTTTGTGAAAAAAAAGAAAAACAACAAAACAAAAATAAAAACGACAACAAAAAGTCTCTGTCAAATGCTTTTACTTTCATTCGGGGAGGTTTTTCACGATTTTCACGTAACATCAATAATTGTCTACCGGAAAAACCACTTTCGATAGGCAGATCTCGCGCACCGTCATCACCATCCTCACCATTGTCTCTACACTGATCTCCATTAATCGGATGCAGAAAATCGCAGCAAAAACAACAACAGCAACACCACAGTTTATTGATGACAAACCCAGTAGCGTTGGCCATAAGCCTTCATCGATTGTTTGTAGTGGCTTGCTGGCTGGCTGACGGGTTGCATATTTTTGCATTGTCCGGACGATGTTGGCATTCCCGTTTTTTATTGCAACCATTGGTCAGCAAAAATGATACACTTTGTAATGATTTGGCGTTTGTGTGTTTTGTTTTCAATTTTCAAGATTAAAGGTTTGTTTGTGACTAAAATTGAGTTTATGAAACTCAATTCTGCAAGAAAAATAAGTTTTCAGGGACCTGAGAAATGTTTTTCTGTAGAACGAGACATCCTCAGGGGCCTGAGGATTTTTTCTATAGAAAAAGAAGTCCTCAGGGGCCTGAGGAATTTTTTTCTATAGAAAAAGAAGTCCTCAGGGGGCTGAGGAATTTTTTTCTATAGAAAAAGTAGTCCTCAGGGGCCTGAGGATTTTTTTTCTATAGAAAAAGAAGTCCTCAGGGGACTGAGGAATTTTTTTCTATAGAAAAAGAAGTCCTCAGGTGGGGCCTGAGGATTTTTTTCTATAGAAAAAGAAGTCCTCAGGGGCCTGAGGATTTTTTTTCTATAGAAAAAGAAGTCCTTAGGGGCCTGAGGAATTTTTTTCTATAGAAAAAGAAGTCCTCAGGTGGGACCTGGCGAATTTTTTTCTATAGAAAAAGAAGTCCTCAGGGGGGACCTGAGGAATTTTTTATATAGAAAAAGAAGTCCTCAGGGGCCTGAGGAATTCTTTTCTATAGAAAAAGAAGTCCTCAGGGGCCTGAGGAATTCTTTTCTATAGAAAAAGAAGTCCTCACTGGAAGTCCTCAGGGGCCTGAGGAATTCTTTTCTATAGAAAAAGAAGTCCTCAGGGGCTTGAGGAATTTTTTTCTATAGAAAAAGAAGTCCTCAGGTGGTACCTGACGAATTTTTTCCTATGGAAAGAAGTAGTCCTCAGGTGGGACCTGACGAATTATTTCCTATGGAAAGATGTAGTCCTCAGGTGGGACCTGACGAATTTTTTCTATAGAAAAAGAAGTCCTCGGGTGGGACCTGAGGATTTTTTTTATAAAAAAAGAAGTCCTCAGGTGGGACCTAACGAATTTGTTTTCAATAGAAAAAGAAGTCCTCAGGGGTCTGAAGAATTTTTTATAGAAAAAGAAGTCCTCAGGGTCTGAGGAATTTTTTTCTATAGTCCTGAGAATTTTTTTCCCGGGGACACCTTGTGTCCCACTGTTCCATTACTGTTTTTTTGTTTCTTCTAACCGTTAATGAAAAATACACGCGTGAACATTTATTTATTCATTGGATCTGTCGAACTGGTCGAACGATTAGTTACAGTTGGTGAATTCGTATTTTTCTTTTTCTTCGCCATTTCTTCTTTGTGTGTTAATATCTCTGGACTGCGATCAATTCATTCCAAAGTAAAAAAAATACAAGTTTATGGTATGGCGTGAATTTCAGTTGAATGGTTTCACATGAGGTGAGATGCAGATAACTGCAACACTTGTTGCCTTCCCTGGGCTGGTTGGTAATTTCCTTTTTGGAGGATATTGTTTTGTTTGTTTTGTGAGGCTACCTTTGACGTAATTTTGTGGCTGTTGGGAATTTCCGAAAATAGTTTCGTAATTATATGGCCGTAAATAACTGGTAATTGCAGGATCTTATCATAGAAGATCGATCGAGTTGTTACATCTTCTAGAAAAGGTGGTTTTAATCTTTTCAAAGTAATAAAATGGCGAGGATTTTTAAATTTTTTTTACCGATGTAATATCAAGAAGTGGATTTAAAAAAAATGTTTTTTGGGGTAACAACAAGGCGTGGATTTTTAATAAATATTTTTTTGATTTAACAACTAAAAATATTGTTTGGAATAACAACAAGACGTAGATTTTTTATACCCTTCCGAATTTCTGAATTTGTATACCCTTCACAACACTGTGGTACAGGATATTTTGTCTTTGTGCATATATTTGTAACACGCAAAAAAAACGAGATACACACATGGTTCCTAAAGAGAATATTCATAGAAACACTTTCTGAGTCAATTTATGCATGTCCGTCCGTCTATCTGTACATGTTAAATTGTAAACAAAGTACAGGTCGCATTTATGATATTTGGCCCAAGGACGAAAATCGGTTCAGATTTAGATATAGCTCCCGTATATAGTTTCGTCCGATTTAAGGTAAATGGTGTACCAAAGTCCCTATATATCTTTCGATTTGTACGAAATTTGGCATAGGGTATTGAATAAAGTCGAGAATGATATGTGCTAAGTTTCGTAAAAATCGGTTCAGATTTAGATATAGATCCCTTATATAGTTTGGTCAGATTTAAGGTAAATGGTGCACCAAAATCCCTATATACTTTTCGATTTGCGCGAAATTTGGCATAGACTACTGAATTAGGCCCAGAATGATGTGTGCTAAATTTCCTGAGAATCGATTCAGCTTTAGCTATAGCTCCCGTATATAGTTTCGTCCGATTTAAGCTAAAAATGGCACCAAAGTCCATATATATATTTCGATTTGCACGAAATTTGGCATAGAGTACTGAATTAGGCCCAGAATGATGTGTGCTAAATTTCCTGGCATAGGGTACTAAATTAAGTCTAGAATGATGTGTGTTAGGTTTCATGAGAATCGATTCAGATTTAACTATAGCTCCCGTATATAGTTTCGTCCGATTTAAGGTAAATGGTGCACCAAAGTCCCTATATATCTTTCGATTTGTACGAAATTTGGCATAGGGTATTGAATAAAGTCGAGAATGATATGTGCTAAGTTTCGTAAAAATCGGTTCAGATTTAGATATAGATCCCTTATATAGTTTGGTCAGATTTAAGGTAAATGGTCCACCAAAGTCCCTATATACTTTTCGATTTGCACGAAATTTGGCATAGACTACTGAATTAGGCCCAGAATGATGTATGCTAAGTTTCGTGAAAATCGGTTCAGATTCAGATATAGCTCCCATATATAGTTTCGTCCGATTTAAGGACGAAAAGGGCACCAAAGTCCCTATATATTTTTCAATTTGCGCAAAATTTGTCATAGAGTACTTGATTAGGTCCAGAATGATGTGTGCTAAGTTTCGTGCAAAACGATTCAGATTTATATATAGCTTCCATATATATTTTCGTCCGATTTAAGGTAAATGAGGCTACAAGGTTCCTATATATGTCCACCGATTTACACGAAATTTGACATGGGGTATTGAATTAGGTTCTAAATGATGTGTGCTAAGTTTCGTGAAAATCGGTTCAAATTTGCATATTGCTCCCACATATACTTTCGTCCGATTTTAAATAAATGGTGCACTAAAGACCATAGCTAGGCCGATTGACACATCGTACTGAAATTAATATGAATTAATCTCTGGCAAGTTTCCTTGAAATCGGTTCAGATTTAGATATAGCATAGATTCCATATATAATTTCTACCTATTTATGTTGATTGTACACCAAATAATCAATGGGTGCCTGATTGATATTACATTTTTAAACAGTAAATCGATTTACAAGATTTAACATAGATTGCAGAATGACATGTCTACGGATTGATGTTAGTCGCTTTACATATAGATAAAGATCACCTATTCAGGTTCTTTCAATTTCACGTCAATGTTCCTTCGAACAGGCGACATCTGTTAGGATACATATGTAGAATATATCCAAAGTTGTGAAGGGTATCATATAGTCGGCCCATATATTTCTCAATGCATCATTAAGGCGTGGAATTTTTTACCTAACACAACTATGTTGTCAGGGGATTATAGTTTTGTGCAGCCCCGAGAGTTTGTAACGCCGCGAAATATTGGTCCTAGACCCACCTTTAAGTATACCGATCGTCATATCTCGACTAGCTGAGTCGATCTAGATATGTGTGTCCGTCCGTCCGTCAGTCCATTATAATTTGTAAACACGATACAGGCCACAATTATGGACAAATCTTCACGAAATTTTGCATGTAGGCTGGGTTCTGACCAATGAAGACCCCTATTGTTTCGGGCAAAGATCGATTAATATTTAGGGGATGAAATGGACCAAATACTTAATTTTTGTCGGTTTTTCTGGTCGCTCCAGAGGCCGCAGTTATGGTCCGAACATGGTGAAATTTTACATAGAGAAGTGGATCGGGCCAAAGAATAAGCATGCTTGTTTTGATAAAGATTGTTAAATATTTAGCGGGTCAAATGGATCCTGACTTTTGTGTAAAAAATTACAAAATTTGTATTCTGGGGTGTATATACTTGCTCCTGAAGGACATATACCCGAGAAGTTGATAATATATCCAAGAGGAATTGTTGACCTTCTAATTGATACCAATTTTATGGCTGTATGTACTCTGATGTACACTGATGATGCATAGTACTACTATTACTCCATTAGAGGACGGAAATGTCGCGCTGATCGCTTTGAAATTGTACATGAAGTTCCGATTATGATCAAGGACGACGCCTACAGTTTTCGGTGAAATTGAGGTTTCATTCAGGGGGTACAATGAACCGAAAACTTTAATTTTGTCAGATTTTCTAGTCGCTCTAGAGTCAATTATTATATGCTCAACATCACATATTTTTCAAGTTGAAGGGGGTCTGACCAAATACTTAGAGCGGCTGTTTAGATGATGATCGGTCAATATTCCGAGGGTCAAATCAACCAAAACCTAAAGTGACCAATTTGTTATTTTATGACCATACCAGGGTTAGAAAGCGGAGTTGTTGATCTGTTATCGGTAAAAAGGGTGCAAATATCACGAAATATTGCCCAGGCTCAGAATATAGAACCCCAGAAAGTTTGCTTTTCGTGGTAGTTGTGTAGGTTATCATATGGTCGCCCCGTCCGACTATACTGCTCCGCTCACTGGTTTAAAAAAATATTTTTTTTTTCGAGGAAATTAAAACACATTTTTTTTTGTTTTTTTCATATAAATTTCTTTTTATTACAAAAAAACATAATAAATAAATTATTTTAATAAAGAAAATATACATCCACAAAAAATTATTAACACACACACTTACATATTTATACAAAATTAAAAAATTATATATTAAGTAATAGAAAAAAATACTATAAAATATAAAAAACGATACTTAATTACTTAACGGTGTGTAAATGCAATTCAAAATAACGGTTATAACGAACAAAGTTTATAACAAACTAAAGGGGTCTAGATAATCCCACAAATCCACCAGCCAAATCCTACAACCTTCTATAACAAACCCCATAGTTTTTTTTTTTTTTTTTTTTTATAAACAATTTCGTTATAACCCTTATTGCTTGCATCTACAACAATTTGTTGTTGTTGGTTTTTATTTAAATTATTCTATTTATTTTTTTTTTCGTTGTAACTGGGGAAAACTTTTAGGAAACTTTGTGTTCATGATTTGTTTGTTTTTTTTTTTTTCAATTTCATTTTTTAATAAAATTAAAAAATTGGATTTTTTAATAAAAAAAATAACAATTTGACTATATATTTTCTTTTCAACACAAAGTGAAGTTTTCTTCTATTTTTTTTTTCTTTTCCAAACAAAGAAAATCTATTTGTCGACTATTATTAGTATTATCTTAGTTTTTCCTTTGCCTACGCCTAAAAGTATGCTTATGACTGTTGCTTGTTCTGCTCGTCTTCCATTGTCAGTTGTGAATTGACAAATTTACTTAACTCAGCTCCATCCTCATCAGCACTGGGTGTTGTTGCTGCTGTTGTGGTTGATGTTTTACGATTTTCTTCATCCATACTATCCTTCAGACTTTGTATATCCAGACCTCCACCTATAGCACGATTTGAGGTGGCGCCATCTGCTTTCTCCTCATCTCCATCCTGTTTATTGTATTTCGAAAAATAGGTCAATGATTTCATAAGTTGATAACTTTTCGAAATTGGTATATTCGAATCATAGACACTTTTCGATGAGGCACAATCGACATAGAACCACCAGTTACATTTGAGTATGGTCTGATCGAAGAGGGTATTCTCGGGACAGAGGAACGATTTGCGGACCATACCATCATCGGTAAGGGCACAGACGTGGAAGACCTTAAAAGAGAAAGAAAGAAACAAAATATTATTAATAATAACAAGTAAGAAATGTAGTAAAGTCGGACGGTGCCGACGTTGTGCAACATTGTGTGACAATCGGCCCAAATCGACCCAAAGTCTTTGGTGCACAATGTACTTAAAATCGGACGAAACTACATATGGGAGTTATATCTAAATCTGAACCGATTCCATCAGAACTTGACACCCGGTAGGTTATAGTTATTTAAATATGTTGTGCATAATTTTGTCCAAATCGGCTTAACTTTGGGTCTTTGGTGCCCAATTTACCTAAAATCTGACGAAAATATATATGGGAGCTATATATAAATCTGAACCGATTTTCACGAAACTCATCACATATCATTCTAGGCCTAATTCAGTACGCTGTGCGAAATTTCGCGTAAATCGAAAGATATATAGAGTGTTTGGTGCACAATTTACCTTAAATCGGACGAAAATATATATGGGAGCTATATCTAAATCTGAACCGATTTTCGCGAAACTCATGACACATAATTCTAGACTCAATTCAGAACGCTATGCCAAATTTCGTGCAAATTGAATGGTATATAGGAACATTGGTGCACTATTTATATAAAATCGGACAAAAATATATATGGGAGCTATACCTAAATCTGAACCGATTTTCACGAAACTTAGCACACATCATTCCAGACTTGATTCAGTACGCTGTGCGAAATTTCGGGTGAATCGAAAGATATATAGGGACTTTGGTGCACCATTTTCGTAAAATCGGACGAAAATATATATGGGAGCTATATCTAAATCTGAACCGATTTTCACGAAACTCATCACACATCATTCTAGACTCAATTCAGTACGCTATGCCAAATTTCGTGCAAATCGAATGACATATAGGGACATTGGTGACCCATTTATATAAAATCGGTACGTTGTGCATAATTTTGTTCCAATCGGCTTAACTTTGGGTCTTTGGTGTCCAATTAACCTTAAATCGGACGAAAATATATATGGGTACTATATCTAAATCTGAACCGATTTTCACGAAATTTATCTCATATCATTCTAGGCTTAATTCAGTAGGCTGTGCCAAATTTTGTGCAAATCGAAAAATATATAGGGTCTTTTGTGCCCTATTTACATTAAATCGGACGAAAATATATATGGGAGCTATATCTAAATCAGAACCGATTTTCGCGAAACTCATCACACATCATTCTAGACTCAATTCAGTACGCTATGCCAAATTTCGTGCAAATCGAATGACATATAGGGACATTGGTGCCCCATTTTCGTAAAATCGGACGAAAATATATATGGGTCCGTCCTTGGACCAAATAAGTGAAAAATATTTTTTGAAAGTAACAACAAGACGTTAAAAAAATTAACCTCCCAATGAAGATCGACTGATTTTCTCATAGAAGACCGACGACTCGACTTATTTTTTAGTAAAAGATCGACTGCTCGACTTATTTTTAATAGAAGATCGACTGACATTATCATACAGATCGGCTGATCTTCTCAAAGAAGATCGACTGATCTTTTCATTGACGATCGACTGATCTTCTCAAAGAAGATCGACTGATCTTTTCATAGACGATCGACTGATGTTCTTAAAGAAGATCGACTGATCTTTTCATAGACGATCGACTGATCTTCTCAAAGAAGATCGACTGATATTTTCATAGAGATCGACTAATCTTCTCAAAGAAGATCGAGTGATCTTTTCATAGACGATCGACTGATCTTCTTACAGAAGATAGACTGATCTTTTCATAGACGATCGACTGATCTTCTCAAAGAAGATCGACTGAACTTTTCATAGACGATCGATTGATCTTCTAAAAGAAGATCGACTGATCTTTTCATAGACGATCGACTGATCTTCTCAAAGCAGATCGAGTGATCTTTTCATAGACGATCGACTGATCTTCTTACGGAAGATAGACTGATCTTCCCATAGAAGATCTTATAGATTATTTGATCTTCTAATAAAAGATCGATTGATCTTCTCATAGAAGTTCGACAGATCTTCCCTTAGAAGATCATCTGATGTTCCCATAGAAGATCGTCTGATCTCCCCACAGAAGATCGGCTGATCTTTTCACAGAAGGTAGTCTTCACAAAAGATCGACTGATGTTTCAAAGAAAATCTGCTGATATTTTTACAGAAGTTCTACAGATATTTTTTATATAAGATCGACCATTAATCTCATGGATGATCAAGGAATCTTCTCACAGAAGATCAACCGATCTTCACAAAGAAAATCGCACATCTTTCCATAGAAATTCAAAGTATCTTCTCAACGAAAATAGACCGATCTTCTCCCAAAAGATATTCGGATCATTCCATAGAAGATCACCTGATCTCCCTATATAATATCCTCTTATCTTCCGCTAGAAGATCGACTGATATTTTCACAGAATATCGGCTGATCTTCCCATATGCGATCAAGGGAACTTCGCACAGAAGATCGAATGTTCTTCCTAAATAAGCCGATAGATCTTCTCGCAGAAGAAATTTGGGTTATATTATCATAACAGAACGACGAATATCTAGCATTTTCTTTAACTCGAGAAATCTGGAAGGTCCTTGCATTCAAAAAACTATCCTTCATACTCACCATACAACCCAAATCCGTATCGGCATACAGGCCAGGGAAATGTTTCTGTTTGGCACAAGAGAAAGATGTGGGCGGCAGATCCACCTTCGATTTGAAATTATCATCGAAGTTTTTGTCATAACCAACTGGGTAATATTCCTTGGGGGCGTTCATGACCTGAAGACAAGAAAAAAAAACATTACAAATATCTCCTCCAAAAAAAGTTATTCATACCATCCTACCTTCGAATTTTTACTTTCCGATTGAACGAAATTATTCTCCTCCGCAAAATGGTTGACCTGTGGCGGTCTTGGCGTAGTAGTCGTCGTTGTTGTTGTGGTAGTAGTGGTGGTGCTTGTAGAACTTGTGGACGTACGCATAAATTCCTCACGTAGCTTAGCGGCCAACATAGCACGATGTTCAGCCTTTAGCTGTTGCTCCCGAACATAAATGGCATGTTTAATGGTTTCCACGCTGACATTGGCCGCCTTGGCCAATTCCTCAACGGTGATATCTTTCATATCGAATTTTGGCTCCTCGAATTGTAAGTAATTCGGATGATTGGCAATGGCGGGAGCTGTGCTAGGCTTGGGAGTTTTTAGGACAGCTGTAATTTTATTTACCGAACTTGGCATTGCTTGGAACGCCGGCACAGCCATGGGTTTCGAGATCATCACTGCATTCTGAGGATGGAAGGTGCGATTATTGTTCAGCTGTTGCGTGTACTGATCGACCAATTTGTTATTGATACTCATTCGGGAGTTGGGTGTATCGACAGCAACACTTTGTGAACGACGTTCGGCGAAGGGAATTGCGGCAAGTTGTTTTTGTGGTATGGGTTTGAAAGCGGGTACGCCGAGAGGTAGTGGGCGGGCTTCTGTCATAAGAGGTTTTTGTTGTGATCGTTTTGCTGCCAATTCTCTTAGGGTTGCCTGTTGAGCTCGCAGTTCGGCTTGTCGTTTTTGTTGTATTAGCATTTCATTGAGAGCTTGCTGCCGAGCGGGATCCACCGCTCCGCCACCACCTCCTTGTTGTCGAGCTAACATTTCAGCCGCCGCTGCTGCCTTAGCCTGCTTTTGCAGCGATTCTCTTAGTTCGGGACTTATGACCATGGGTGATCGGGATTGAATACGTTTGTCCATAAGGGATTGTGCCGAGGGCTGAAAAGGGGGTGGAGATTATTAGAGATCAGATAGTTGAGGTGAAAAGTCATCCACGAAGATCAGAGATATACTAGTGGTGGATAAATTACCCACAGTGGAGTATAAATTATCCGTAGTTGTGGATAAATTACCCACAGTGGAGTATAAATTATCCGTAGTTGTGGATAAATTATCCACAGTGGTGGATAAATAATCCATAGTGGTGGAGAAATTCTCCACAGTGGTGGATAAATTGTCAAAAGTAGTCGATAGATTATCCACAGTGGTGGATAAATTATCCACAGTGGTGGATAAATTGTCAACAGTAGTCGATAAATTATCCACAGTGGTGGATAAATTATCCACCATCCGCTGTTGTGGATAAATTATCTACATTGGTGGATAAATTATCCACAGTGGTGAATAAATTATACACAGTGGTGGATAAATTGTCAACAGTAGTCGATAAATTATACACAGTGGTGGATAAATTATCCACCGTGGTGGATAAATTATCCACCATCCGCTGTTGTGGATAAATTATCTACATTGGTGGATATATCATCCACAGTGGTGGATAAATTATCCACAGTGGTGAATAAATTATCCACAGTGGTGAATAAATTATCCACAGTGGTGAATAAATTATCCACAGTGGTGAATAAATTATCCACAGTGGTGAATAAATTATCCACAGTAGTCGATAAATTATCCACAGTGGTCGATAAATTATCCACAGTGATAGATAAATTATCCACAGTGGTGGATAAATAATCACAGTGGTGGTGAATAAATTATCCATAGTGGTGGATAAATTATCTATATTGGTGGATACATTATTTAAAGTGGTGGATAAATTATCCACAGTGGTCGATAAATTATCTACAGTGGTGGATAAATTATTCACAGTGGTGGATGAATTATCCATAGTGGTGGAATCATTATCCACAGTGCAGGATAAAGTATCTACAGTGGAAGATAAATTGTGCACAGTGGTGAAAAATTATCCCCACAGTGGTGAATAAATTATCCCCACTAGTCGATAAATTATCCACATTGATGAAGAAATTATCTACAGTGGAAGATAAATTATCCGCAGTGGTGGATAAATTCTCTAGAGTGGGGAATAAATTATCCACAGTGGTAGATAAATTATCCACAGTGCAGAATAATTATATAAGGTGGATGACAAATTATCGACAGTGGTGGATAAATTATCCGCAGTGGTGAATAAATTATCCACCTCTGTAGATAATTTATCTACCGTTTATCTATTAACTAATACTCCTTCTCAACTCACCTGTTGATTGGCCGGCAGCACACCAACATTCGGTGGTGGTCCATTTTTGTAGCCAATCGAACGGCGACGACCTCCTTCAACATTGCCCAAGGACTCAGGGAAACCAAGTTCATCGCCCAGACTGAAACCTAAAATAGAAAATAAGAAACAAAAATAACAAAAAACATTAATTATTTTAAATAATCTCATAAAGCAACAACAACAAACACCATATTTTTTCAAAATCAATTGATGGACGTGAGAAATCCAAGCGACAGCAGCTTTTTCAGTTTCACACCTGATTTGCTAATTTTTTTTCAAAATAATTAATATTGAGTTCCGCGTCGTCTTATTGAATGCTAAGCTAAATGGCATACAAAATCACCCGACATTATCATCATCATCAACCATCCCGCCGCCATCAATCATCTCTGACAATCATAATCATGCAAAATCAACAGAAAATTTGCAATTAGTGTCCATAAAAAAATTGTGATTTTGAGCATGCCCTCCGCACCCTGTTTTATTTGTTATTGACCGATCATTCATTTGGTTTAGATTTGGGTATTCAGTTTTCGATTTCGAAGACTATTATAAAGATGTCATAGTTAATGACAGGTTAAGGTTCCGCAAAGGGAATTTTGCAAATTTGATGGGTCATTTGCAGAGTGTGTGAGAAATTATGGTGATTTGAGGTAAATTACCGTTAGGTGTTTAACAATTTGAATTTAATTTTCTAACCTACTAATAAAAAGGGGTCAACTTCTATTTTCTATAAATGATATTTAAAGATAATTGATAAGAATCGAAATTTCCGAAAAATATTCTGTGAATTGTGTCAAGAATGATCGGAAATATGATTGAAGTTGGCAAATTATTTTACAGTTAGTGAAATGCGAACGAGATCGAATTAAGAATATGGGAATAATGAAGCGGGATCACAAAAAGAACTATAGGAACCTAAGATCTAAACCTAGTTCCTTATTTCGTTCCGGAAATAACAAAGTCTAAATTTCATCATCACATAGGCTTGATGGAAAATACTGCGCCACAAATCATAATCAAATATAGGAACAAGACTTAAGGTGTAACCTGGATTCAAATCGCAGCGGAAGAGAAAACATTATTTCAAAGTGTTTTTAAAATATTTGTAAAAAATGCTTACAGATGAAATGCATAACACATGAGGATAACATACATAGAATGGAAATGACAAGTCACAACGCCACCTAGAGTAAAATTACAAAACTAAATAAGCAAGTAGGCCACTATCGATAGGAGTCGAAACTCGATTTTGATTTGACAACTTTGACAAACATCGAAAAGTCGGCTACATATCTCTCCAAATCACAAAAATCATGTTGGCATTGTGACTAGGCAACGATAGATGGCATCCTCGTCACCTGGGATATCCAGCTGGAATAAAAACGAACAAGTAAAAAAAGTCTTAGCCGGTGTTTGCCGATAGATATATACCCTAAGCCTATAGTTTGCAGAGGTCTACGAAATAAAACACAGAAGATGTCTACATACCAGTTCAGATGAAATGCATCAACACATGAAGATAACATAGAATGGGAATGGCAAGAGATAACGCCACCCAGACGAAAATTGCAACACTAAATAAGAAAGAATCCGAACCACGGCAATAGGGATAGAAGTCGAAAATCAATTTTGATTTGACAACTTCGAAAAGTCGACTTATTTTTAAAAGGTAAAGATCGAAAAGTCGACTTTTGTTCTCGCCTCCTTATCTCACCAAAGAACAAAATTCAATGAGGCATTGTTGCTAGACAACGATAGATGGCAGCCTCGTCACCTGGGACATGCTGCAGCATACCAATCATCTTTTAAGCTGGTATAAAAACAAACAATTAAAAAAAGTTTCAGCTGGTGTCGCCGACAGATATATACCTTCAGCCTATGGCTTATCGAGGTCTACGAAATAAAACACAGAAGATGTCTACATACCACTTCAGATGAAATGCATCAACAGAGAAAAATTGCAACACTAATAAGCAAGAACCCGAACCACGGCAATAGGGATAGAAGTCGAAAATCTATTTTGATTTGAAAACTTCGAAAAGTCGACTTATAAAAGGCAAAGATCAAAAAGTCAACATTTGGTCTCGGCTAAGTATCTCACCAAAGCACATTCAAGGAGGCATTGTTTCTAGGCAATGATGGATGGCAGCCTTGCCACCTGGGACATGCCGCAGCATACCAATCATCTTCTAAGCTGGAATAAAAACGAACTTGATGTCTCAACCGGTGTTGCCGGCTGATATAAAACCTCAGCCTATGGTTTGCTAAGAAATAAAACACATGTTTTATTATTCGATTTATGTTTTATCAAAAGAGTTGACCATCTTTGGAGAGGTAGCATAAGAGGTTGCCTTATAGATCTCATCATAGGATTTAATGTAGGTTTGGAAAAATATTACGATTTGCAAAAATTTGGATCAAATCAGACAGTCCATTACCATAATAGGTGTGGATATTATGAAGAATATATTTTCAAGGCCCACTAGACGAGGGGATTTTATGAAGAATCTTTTTTCAAGGTCGATTAGAGGTGAGGATTTCATAAAGAATATTTTTTAAGGTCCATTAAAGACATGGGTTTTATAAAGACTATTTTTCTCCAGGTCTATTATGAGCGTGGATTGTATAAAGAATATGTTTCAAGGTGCATTAGAGGCGTGGTTTTATGAAGAATATTATTTCAAGTTCCATTAGAGGCGCGCATTTTATAAAGAAGCAGTGGAACATTTTCCAACTTGAATTAAGTTTGAAAGAAATATTACGATGTGCGTATTTTGTATGAAGTCACACATTCCATACGATTGTTACTGAATTAAAACATTTTCAAATTTGTTACCCTTTGTGGGAGACACCAGATGGAATGGAATAGGCTAGATAAAAATATTACGATGTTCAACGTTTAGATGAAATTCGCTCCACATGAGATTTACAAGCTTTCAAAAGTTTGACCCCTTGTGGGACAGGTACTAGAAAGAGTGAACCGATAAGTCCCATCACACACCATTATAAAAGAATGGTTAAAAAATTATCGGCGTCGAATGAACCACGAGCATTATAATCTATACGAGGACATCGACATAGTCAGTCGTATTGAGCTGCAGCGACTACAGTGGCTAGGCCACGTTGTGCGAATAAATGAGAATGACTCAGCTCAAAAGGCATATAAAAGCGATCGTACTGATTGTTCACACAAAAGGGGAAGGTCACAAATTACATGGGATGACATAGGTTGGTCCTAAATATATCCAAATTTTCGTACTGAAGAGGAATGAGACAATGTGCCTTGGTTTTTTAACCTGAGTGTCTGTAATACTTATAGTTCAAATTTCGAAAAAAATAAACCTTTGGAACATCTATCCTACACTCCATCAGGGGCCAATGTTCTAAATTTAATTGGGGTCATATTTAGTACTTTTGTGCCGTTCTAGTACGAATTTACAAAAACCCATACTTTTCTGACATCTTCAGACTAAGAGTAAAGCTTATCCCAAATTTCAAGATTCCAGCTTCAGGCGATTCGTCTGGGCGTTGGTGAATCGTTAATCAGTTAAGTCTCTTTACTCCTTTATTAGTATAGATAGATATTAAATTTCAGAGCCCGATCGGACGGGGCCGACCATACGATACCCTACACAACTACCACGGAACTCTAACTTTCTGCGTATGTGTATTCCGAGCTTGGGCATTATTTCGTGATATTTGGTCCCTCTAGCCCGATTAGAGGTCAACAGCGCCTCTTCCTTACACTGACATATTTTCCGAATATCGAAAAAACACAGAAAAGAAATTAACCCTTTCAGTGTCAAAAAAATTTTTTGTTGGAATAAAAATCTAAAATTTTGTACTTAAAATCATATAAAGGCATAGAGTATAAAAAAAAACTATTTTCATTTTAACCCTCGGACAGTTTCGTCTGTTTTTCAGCAAAAACAAAAACATCAATGTTAACGGTACATAGGATAACCGAAAAATCGCAAAGATATAGAGAATTTTTAAATGTCGAATATATTCGGCAAAAACACTGAAAGGGTTAAGTATTCGGTCTACTTCATCACATAAGTATAATCTGACTATCACCAAAAGTTATATGCGTTGTCCTTGACCATACCTAGAACCTCATGGAAATTTTCAAAGCGATCAGCTCTATATTTCCGCCCTCTAATGTGGTAATGGGTTACTAAATAATATCTGAATACGTAAGCACCTGTAAATATTTACGTATAAGTCTCACATCCGAGTACGTACGACAATATAACTGGTATCAATTTAAAGGTCAACCCCTCCTCTACTATGGATATAGTATCAACTTTTCGGGTCTATGTCCTTCAGGGGTAAATATATACGCCATAGAATACAAATTTTATCAATTTTCACACAAAAGTCAGGGTCCATTTGACCCGCTAAATATTGACCGATCTTTAACAAAACAGGCATGCTTATTCTTTGGGCCGATTCCCTTCTACATGTAAAATTTCGCGATGTTCGGACCATAATTGCGGCCACTGGAGCGACCACATTAACCGACAAAATTAAGTATTTGGTCCATTTCATCCCCTAAATATTAACCGATCTTTACCAAAAACAATAGGGGTCTTCATTGGCCAGAACCCATCCTACATGCAAAATTTCATGAAGATTGGTCCATAACTGTGGCCTGTATCGTGTTTACTAATTATAATGGACAGACGGACGGACGGATGGACGGATGAAGGACACACATGTCTAGATCGACTCAGCTAGTCAAGATATGGCGATCGGTATACTTAAAGGTGTGTCTAGGACCAATATTTTGCGGCGTTACAAACTTTTGGGGCTGTACAAAGCTATTATACCCTGACAACATAGTTATATAGGGTATAAAAACAGGACTAACATGCCCTACATCTCTTATTTAATATATATATATATATATATATACCCCCCACCACACGGTGGTACAGGGTATTATGACTTTGTGCATATATTTGTAACAGGCAAAAGGAAACGAGATAGACGCATGGTTCCTTTTGAGAATATGCATAGAATCACTTTTTATGTCGATTTATACATGTCTGTCTGTACATCTGTTGATGTTAAATTGTAAACATAGTACAGGTCGCATTTATCATCGGATTTGGATGAAATTTGGCATAGCTCATTTATTTGGCCCAAGGACATTGAAATTGGGAAAAATCGGTTCAGATTTAGATATAGCTTCGTGCACCAAAGCCCCTATATATCATTTGTACTATTTTTGTATATATTTTCGTCCGATTTAATAGAAATGGTGCACCAAAGTTCTTATATATCTTTCGTTCAATTTCATGCCAATGTTCTTTCGAAAAGGCGACGTCAGTTAGGAGACTATGTAGAAGGGTATCATATAGTCGGCCCAGTCCGACCTTACTACTTTCCTTACTGGTTTTTAAATATGAAGATAATGAAAATAAAAAAAATAAAAAATTTATTTTACAAAATATAAAATATTTACAAAATTTTATAAATTAAAAAAAAATATTTAAAAAAATTTGTGTTAATATATATTTTCAATAATTATTTCTAGGTTAGTTTAGAAAAAAATAAATAAAAATATTAACAAAATTGGGTATTACCTAAACCAAAGTGCGCCTTAAGGCCGCCCAAATTTCTTACACGAAAGAGTCCAGATTTTTTGAAATTACAATTGAGTATAAAACCAAAATCGGATTCTAAAACACATGTCCCGCAAGCCAATCCTAAAAATAAATTGTAAACAAGAGGGAAGAGAAAACAAACACAGAAAAATTAGGAATTTGAAAAATAACAAAAAATAGTGGTTGTTGTTTTTGTATATAAACAAATGTTAGGGTATTTACAAGGGTTCATAATGTTTTTTTAGATTGGGGGTATATAGGGCTCAGGAATGCCATATGTGGCTGGGGGGTAGTGGTGGTATTGGTGAAAATGAATTTGGAAAATATAAATGTGACAATGTGTGAATATTTGTTTATGGGTGAGTGAGTGAGTGTGTGTGTAGTGTGTACAGAGTTTGTTGTGGAGTTATGAAGAGGGCGAATACAAATGAAGTTATTTTTTCTGTGTTTTGTTTTTTAATAAATAAGAAACTAATATTTTTTATATACATATTTTATATATATTTTATTTTTTATACATACATATATAGTTTATAATAAGAAACTAAAAAATATATATAGCATTGATTTGTCAAATTACGCCCACATATTCCACAATTTATTATTTTAATATTTCTTTCAATTAATTTACAGTAGAACATCTCAAGAATAGACCGGTCAAAATTGAGATGATTTCCATATAGACAATAGTTCGCAGTAACCTCAGCTTTGATGAATCACAAATCCCCATTTGTGAAAACCTAACATATTTGATGAGATTTAAATTTAACATTTTACACCGATACTAACACTTCTCATGTAAGGTTTATCAGTGCGTAATATATAATAATATGCATATCCCTAGCAGAAGTGTGAAACTCTGAACTACTAAAAATTTTTAAATTTGATTAAATAAAACAAGTGAAAAAGGATTAAGTTCGGCCGGGCAAAACTTTGGATACCCTCCACCATAGATATACTGACAGGTACTTGAAATGAAAATATAGGGAAAATAACAAAAACTGGACCTATACCGACATTGCTACAATTCGATTATGTAAACCATAATATAAACCATAATACAAATTTCAGAATTTTTTAATGGATAATTAAAACGTCAGCCTTATGGCTATTGAGGGTGCCCAGGGTTGCCCATATTCGACGGACCCATGTTTTTTTTTTAATCAAAGAAAAAAATAAAAATTTGGCGATTGGCAATGTTAATCATTTAATTTGTTCCAAGTAGATTTGTTTACATCAATTTTTGAATATGATATCTCTCAAATGGTCGCCTCTGGCGTTGATGACGTATTGTGTCCTTTTTGCTTCATTTTCCATCGTTTTTGCCAACATTTCGGCCGGAAAAGCGGAAATGTTGTCCTTGATCTCTTCTACGGTCCTTGGCCTGTTAACGTAAACCTTTGACTTCAAATATCCCCACAAGAAGAAGTCAGGCGGCGTCAAATCGGGCGAACGCGGTGGCCAGTCCAAATCACCACTTTTCGACATCAAACGGCCCGGAAACAAATTCTTCAGAAAATCGATTGTTATGCGACTTGTGTGCGGTGGAGCGCCAGAACTGCCTCATACGCTTTCGACGAATAATTGACATCACAAAATTGGTCATCATGTCGCGATAACGCTCCTGATTGATGGTAACATCATGGCCATTTTCATTTTGGAAGAAAAACGTCCCAATGACCGTTTTCGCACTAACGCCGCACCAAACTGTGACTTTTTCGTCATGAAGAGGCACTTCTTGAATCTCCGGAGGATTTTCAGTGGCGTTAAAACGGCAATTTTGCTTATTTACGGTTCCATTCAATGTGAAATGGGCTTCATCGGACATGATAATTTTGTTCCAAAGTGCTCGTCATCTTCGGTCATTTCGATGACTCTTTGGGCCCATTGCAATCGACGAGGCTTGTCCGCAGGCAACATTCTTTGCGTCAATTGAATTTTGTACGGGAACAAATGCAAATCAATGCGAATAATCCGTTGTAAAGTGGACCGAGCCATGCCCAACTGCTGAGAACGGCTTTTTTGGGATGTTCTCGCGTGGCGTGTTTTGGTTCATGGTAAAAATCTGTTTGGACTGACGCTTCAAACGCGGTATGTCATTAAACGATGTGACATCTCTGTCAAAAGTTATGGCGTTGCCAGATGAGTCTGTCGAATATGGGCAACCCTGTATACACTTTGACTCTGTGAAAATGTGCCTCATCGAAATATTGGTTCTAGACCCCATGTTTCTTTGGACCAAATTTATTTCAGTTCAATTTGATTTCGTCCAATCTTTGCCCATCTTATTATTTCTTCCAAACTTAGTTCAAGTTCGAATATGGGAAGTATCGGTCCACTACTTCTGGTACATGCCACACAGTGGCTAGGCCTAAATGCGGGTTATAGTTCACATATAGTTCATTATCGAACTCTATGTTTTTGTTTTTTATCTCGCTATCCTCCGCAGGTGAAATGATTACAATAGAGTCCTAGAACCAAACCCTAAACGCGGAACAAATTAGATACCCCAAAAAGGGGGGTTATATGGGGACTACACCAAAAAGGGGGCAAATTTTACCCTGATCAAGAATATATATACTTTATAGGGTCGGAAATTAATATTTCGACAAGTTACAAACGGAATGACAAAATTAATATACCCTCCATTCTATGGTGGAGGGTATAAAAAACTACTCACGCCATTTTACACCATTTATAGGCTAAACTAAATTTTTATGGCTATGAATATAAATATTTTGCCAAAAAATAAACTAATAAAAAAATAAATTTTATCTTCGCATGACAATAAAATGATGAAGATTTCCTTGACTTTGTGAAATAGTTTGTCACAGTTACCTGTTCATTTTTGTTGTTGTTTTTGTTACTGTTATCTTCTTCAAATCATCTTTTTTGTTGTTATATAATACCAAAATATGCAGTTCATTTTATTTTAATTTCAAGTTTATTTGAAATTTTGGGCCTAGATGTCACTCGCCATCATCATCGTCATCATGATCATCAGCATGCGATGATGATGGTGATGTTGGTTGTTGACTCTTAACAAGTTCGTGTCTTAAGTCTTTTGTTTTGTGTGTCTTTTGATTTGACATTAATTAAAGGCATGTTGAATATGAATTAGTTGGTATTTTTTGGTTGTTAATTAAAAAACAATGACTGTGGGAACTCTCGGATGCGAGTGAAATTGTGATACACGGTGTGTCATGGAGAAATTAACATGTAAATAATTGTTGTGGGGAGAGGATATTGTATAATGGTTGTTATGACAAACATTTGCAATATGCAATACTCGTAATTACATGGTAATATTTAATTTAGAAGTGACATGATTTTGGAAATGAAATTAAAATAAATTGAGATTTTATAAAGATTTTTGCATAAAAGGGAAGGGGTTATACTCTGGGGAATATATGATAATTTTTTATTTTGAATATCGCGACTTTGTCATAGAAACATAGTTTTTTAACAGAACGAAACACTGATAAACAAAAATGATTCACATGAGGGGCTTTATTAACAAATATTTTTTAAGAGCCTTGCCTGTAGTTTTTTAAAGATTGGATTTGAAAAAATATGAACAAATAAAATTAAGGGAAATGGATTTAAAGGAAACCCAAGCTTTGAAAAAATATTTTTGGAAAATCGCCTATTTTTTACCACAAACCAAGTAAAAAATAAGGAAGATTATTAGTTTTTGAGTTATCGTGACCGCCATTCGCAAAAATGCTGTTTGGAAAAAATGCGTTTTAAGTTTGAGAAGTCCTCTTGCCGTCACTTGATGCTGACACAATAAATCGGCTATATCTTGACTTGAGATTTCATAGGGACATTCTTGAATTAGTGTAGATTCGAATTAAATCAAAATACAAAATTAAATTTTTTGAAACTGAAAATGCGGGTCCCCTTAAGTTTAAAAACATTTTTAGGTAGAGTAACAAGGGTTATTTTTAATGGCCAGTCACATGTCTGAAATTTGTTATGGGAGCATCCATATGCATAGATTTTTTTTAAATATTTTCTAAGGACTTTACACAAATGTGATTTTTTAAACATATCTATGGATCATCCAAAACAAGGATTTTATATTTGTTTAATGCTTCGACACGAATAGCAGACATTTTTTAAATGACCACTCAGATGTGTAGATTTTATAAAACATATTAAGGGCCGTAGATTTTTTAACAACTATTAAGGACTATCCATATGCGTATATTGTTTACACCTATGGATAGTCCTTATACTTTTTATTTATATTTATTTTTTAAATATACTTTTTTATGGTTATATGAGTAGAATTAAAAATTTGAATTAAAATTATAATTAAAAACCGGTGGGCGGAGCAGTATAGTCGGACGGGCCGACCATACGATAACCTACACAACCACCACGGAACTCTAACTTTCGGTGGATTTTTATTTCGATCCTGAGCAATATATGGAGATATTTGCACCCACTTGGCCGATTAGAGGTCAACTGTACCTCTTCCTTACACTGGATTATTTTCCGAATATTAATATTATTCAGTACAGTCCTTCTAATTACTTGTCCATATCCCCTTCACCGTGGGTTGTGTTGAGATGTTCGGCTTATAATTGTGGCCTACAGATAGACTCAAAAAATAAGACTTTGGTTCACTTCATCCCAATATAATTATCTGAAAATTATAGGGGTTGTCCTTGACCATACCTTTATCCTCATGGAAAATGTCAAAACGATCAGCGCCATATTTCCGCCTTCCAGAGTGGTAATGGAAAGAAAGAAATAATAATACGTAAGCACCTGTAAATATTTACAAGTAACTCCCACATCCGAGTACATACGACAATATAATTGGTACCAATTTAAAGACCAACCACTCCTCTTGGATATACACGTAGGTCTGTTTTTACACGGTAGATTGGTTCCAGAAGAAGTCGTGTAAAAAAAGACATTGATCTTATACATAAAGGGAATTCCCCTAAATTAGTGCTATTGACATTTACTTTGACCAGTAAAAATTGTTTGTACGCGCTAAAGGGGAATGCACTTATATCTTTAAGCTAGTGTTCGCAAACTATCGATACTATCGATGGTTTCAGACTTTTTTCTTTCATAAATACTTT